ACGCCTCAACTCAGCAATATCAACAAACATATATTTTAAGGAAACATTATTTATTTAATATATATCACTTTCTGGCACAATTATACAGAAAAACACTGTTCGCCTCAAACTTGGAGCTAAGTTCTACAATCGGGTTTGGCCCATGGCCTAATACGCTAGCGATCTGTAAATAATCGAATCTAGGCTAGACAATCCAGAGATTGACATAATGAGTATCGATGGCGTGCATCAACCAAGACATCGCATCTGCGAAGCGATCCTGTTAGCCGCCTCCTCCGAGCATGGGCTCCTGAAGACCAATTTAACCCGGATCTTCGTGGGTGCCGATTACATCTACTAGGTGTACTTAAGATATTCCACTACACGTGTTTTCTTTTTGTTTATCGTTGTGGGGTGTTAGAATGAGGGCGTGAGTGTTTACTGTAAATATCGCTGGCAATACGGTCTGGTTTAGATTCAGACGCTCGCTGATTTAATATATTACTGTTGCATGCGATTGATGTAACACATATTTTACAGCTATATTTTAGCTCTTGCATAACATCATATATATATTTTTTCATCAGGGTTCTCAAATGTCCCGCAGTCTGCTCCTTAATCAAACAAGTGAAGTCACACATTAACACTATGTCCACGTGGTCAGTTTTATTATGAAACAGTGGGACAAAAATAGACAGTACGTGTATGTTGCCTTTATGAGAGAGCCTGTGAAGATCCGGGTTAGAACTAAATGATTTAGGTCTTTCAGCAACCCATGTTTGTCGTAAGAGGGTGATCAGACTCTCTGACTTGGTTGACACACGTCATCGTATCCCATTGCGTAGATCGATGCTCATGATGTTAATCACTGGATTGCCGGGTCTAGACCCGATTATTTACAGACCGCCGCAATATAGTTGGAATATTGCTGGGTGCGGCGTAAACAACAAGCAAACAAAGAGAGCTCAAAATATATGCACACAAATACAATGTATTTTTCAAGTAACGCGCTTAAGCGTATTTTGAATGCAAAGAGAGCATTCGTCTCTTTATTTTACTCAGAAAGCGTAATCCCAAAATTAAAATAATGTGTATAACAGAATAAACGCCCCACGCCGAGCTCAGAGTGAGTGAGTGAGTTTAGTTTTACCCCGCTTTATTCCAGCAATATCACGGCAGGGGACACCAGAAATGGGATTCACACAGTGTACCCACGTGGGGTATCGAACCCGGGTCTTCGGCGTGACGAGCGAAGGCTCTAACCACCAGGCTACCCAACCATGCCCCTGGAATTGATAGCTTTGAGACGAGCGCATTCCATTTAGGCGTCGAGATTTGTCTCCCTTTAAACTTTCTCCCGCGCGTCTGACAGAACTACACTTCCAGTCATGTTAAAACTTGTCGCAGGCAGAACCGGCGCGCGGCTGATTTAATTTATCAGAAGCACTCGTAAAAAGCCCCATGTAGTCTGTCATAGGTATTAGCAAAGTTATGAGCACATTTATAGATATTGTTGATTTACTATAAACCTAATAAAAGCACAATGGTTTCTGCTAGCAATGATATGCTCATGTGATACCAGGGATAATCTACGTCTTCAAGATCTATTCTGAGTTTCTTCCTGGTAATACTGACCCGGTTTAGAATTAGGAGATAAACATCATGTGTTGGCCAATTTCCGGGTGTTATTGAGTGACGCCGTCGGTTCCAAATGAATTCCCGTGCTTCAAATACTCAATAACACCAGGAAATGAGGTTTATCTACATTGTAAACACAAAAGTAAACCAAAAGGTCCACACACGTTTTTGTGTTTTGTACATTTAACATGGCGGTAAGATAAATACGTGGTGTGCTTCTCCCTCGGGTAATACGGTCTGATGTACGCCTTTTTGTAGCAGTGTCATCCCTCGCCTACCGGCTCGGGTGACACTGCTACAAAGAGGCGTACATCAAACCGTATTACCCTCGAGAGAAGCATACAACTTATATTGTCTTTATTGGCCCTCTTACCTTCTTGAAAGTTAAAAATGGAAAACACACTTGACAAGACTTAATTACAAAAAGGTTGTAGTAAATATAATGCAGTACATTTTAGTGAAAACTATATATTTCACTTTTTACTATAATTCTAGAATATTTCAATATATTACCAGGACGGTTGCAGTTCACTAGGTGAACCTATGGTCTTAGGTCTGTGACAGGGTGACATTTTCATAACCAAACCCTGGACCTCTTTAAGAGATTTGCAATAAGGAAACTGGCGGGTGACTTATCTAGTGGTAGATCACAGGAGAGGTTGGGGTTGGGAAGTTTAATAAATGACCATTGAAACTCTGAAGTCCCGTGAAAATGAACTGTGCACCCCCTTAGTGACACCACGATCTACTTTTCAGGGGTTTGTATCCATGGAGACTCCAGCTACAATTATAATCCTTGACCTGTGAGAACATTTACATATGCTTGTGGGTTGTACCTAGACTCCAATGACGTCAGTGTCTAGTAATCATAACTGCCAGTATCACCGACTTGGGAAATTGAATCCCTAGTTATTACATCTGTCCAATCACTGGCAAACTGTAGCGCAAATAGAGTTGAACAACAAATAGAGTTGCGTCGCTCTCATATAGGAAGACTGGTCATTTTTCCTTTGTTGCGCAACTCTATTTGCGCTACAGTTTGCCTGTGGTCCAATTTGCCACAAATCCACACTCATAAATTTCATGGTACGATAAACATCACTTTGGGCTTTTCTCAAGATTAATCTGGCCTGCAATGTCATTAATGAAACTTTTAAAGCAGAATTATCCCATATGAGTGAGTTTAGCTTTACGCCACTTTGAGTGACATTCCATCAATATCACAGTTGGGGACACCAGAAATGGGCTTCACACATTGTACCCATGTGAGGAATCGAACCCGGGTCATTGTTGTGACGAGCGAACGCCTTAACCACTAGGCTACCTTATCCCATATCACTTACCATCTTAAACAAAAGCCAACGCTGAATGAAGTGACATTTGGATGTTTTATTGCGAGATATCTTTTCCAATGAATACCCAATGTTCTGATGAGAACATCAAAACCAGATCACAGATATGGTACCGATAATTGATAGAGTAAAGTTCACATAGATAAATAGTTACATTTATTTACAAAGACAGAATTGTCAATTTCAATGACAGTGGTATTCATTTCAGCACTGAAATGTCTCTGCATTCTTTCAACATGAGACAGATACATAACATACAGTACAAACACATGTATCTATCATCAGTGTGCAGTTAACAATGCACTCAGTCACTTCTACACTAATGAAACAGATTTAGGAAATGAACATTGTGAAATAGGAATCATTTCATATTTATCAATATTACAAACATTACAACAAATAAAACGTTACATATAATGTCGATTTTCCTAATGGTTTAAATTGGAAAATAATTATCATTCTAAAACATGTATAGCATTGTGTTGCTGAACTTTAAAAATAATAGTATCATGATCCTAATAACTTCAGTTACTTAAACAACACGCTTTGATTCTTCAAAATATCAAGAAAAGGGGTTCTCTAATATTTCCAATATCTTTTAATAAACAAACCATAAATGAAAGTCTTCAAAAGAAAACTGATGCTCATGATTAAGTAACAAGAATAAATAGGAAAAGCATGAAACCAGTCTTTTAGATCTTGCTTTTCTTCAGCACAATACCAACCCAATGTTCTGTGGTTCAGTCTCTTTTCCCTAAAGAATTCTATACTGGATTATAATTATTGTTCCTTTGTCCTAAAACCTTTGCCTTGTGAAAACAAAAACTCTTGTGATTTAGTACAATACCTTACATACAAGGCGTATATGGTTCTAAACTGAAACAGGGAACAAACTAAAATTCTCCTTTGACGTTCACAAAAAATCCGGCTGAAAAATTCAGACATGTAAAGATATTGACCGATGTAGTAATATCATGAATATCTTCATACAAAATTCTTCATAATCGAAATATCGAAATTGAAGATAATCACTCTCCCCCTGTCTTCACAAACTCAACATTTCCTCAGTAAATAACAATGTTCCTTACAGAAAATTTAAATTTGTTCATTGACAGTATTTACACTTGATTATCACAGTATGATAGACATATATGAGTAACATGCACATAGTAAAATAATTAACTATGAGCCAGCTGCTAAGCCCTGGCTGTTAAAATAATCTGCATAGACTTCTTTCTTAATAATAAAATCATTCATAAAATTTGCAAGAAAACTTAACGGAGAATCACTAACAATGGAATGAATGAAAAATATCTTCCTTCATGGAAAAGAAAAACAGGTCAAAACAATTCTCAAGTCAACTGCTTTGCCATTAAAAATTTAGTGTATTTCTTTCTGAACAAAATTTACAGCTATATATGAATATTCATAATAAAATTAACTGCGAAATATTACCAATGGAAGGACTAAACAATAGTACCCTTCAAGGAAACAAATATAACAGATTTATATATCAAACAAGTGGCTCTATGAAGGCAGTGAATCTACAAGACTTCCTACAGATAATAACAAAAATGTGGTTAAAAATATGTCTATATTATCAACTATGGCAGAAAAACATCTGTGCCATGTAGACACAATCACACATTTGGCAGATTGGAGGAGGAGCCTGCTGTAGCAAGGGAGATAACTCTGGACGGAATAATAGTCCTTTAATGCTGCAACACATTAGTACTATGTGTCTACTAAAATCCTCCCATCATGTATCAGTAGTTGGCTGAGCTTATGAAATTCTCGCTTGTGACCAAAAAATATGAAAAAATAACATTTAAGTGTTCAGAATTTACCCTATAATTTGATGGACATGTGTATGCATTGTAATCTTACACTCGTTTGCTTCAATATTTAAAAACAAGATCAATGTATTTTACTACTTTAGATCGATAATAAAATCAGAATTAGCCACAGCCATGAAAGTATACAAACTGTACATGTGGTTATTAGTCTTTTAAAAGTCAGTAACTATGCAACAAGAGTTTGCATTCTAGCTTGAGGGGTGCCTCTGCCAAGTGGCGTGACAGACTCAAACACAGGTTGATAAAGCTTGTGACCACGGGTATCAAGTTCCACAAATTTGTAGGTGGACCGTGTGGTGTCAATGACTGCAGCAGGGCATGGCTCCGACGCCTTCGGGGTGTAGTCCATCCTGTACATGGTGTTATCATCAAAGGGACCTTGGCTCTGGACGAAGTCATTGGAAGGTTTGCAGCTTTGGTTGGGGTTAAGAGGGTGTGGAATGTAGTGAGACTTCTGGGTGGACATGCCCTCGAATGGTGCAGTGTTGGGTAGGTATTCTTGCTTCATCACTGGACGGCTCCTCTGGCCAAGGTCCCACGGGCGGAAGTCCGTGGAGTAGTTTGTTACGCCATTAAAAGCTCCAGCCCTCATGACGTTAGCCGAGTGGGGCCTCTTGGCTAAGGCACGCTGTAAAGGATATTCCTTGAATGCCAGATTGTGTGTTGTGTTCATGTCCATGTCACCGACTGGCTTCTTGTACTGCTCTGGGTCACGTACAAATGGACGATCAGCTTCCCATCTCCGGTAGTCATTCTTGAAGGTTGTCATGTCTTCAAGAGGTGCCTGAGATTGGAATGCCTGAGCATCGGGCTTGCAGCTTTCTGTTTTTGGTGCATAAGCTCCTTGGTAGTCTCTCTTGAAGGTGGACAGGCCATCAAAGCGGACACCAGATGGTCTGTAGGTGTCCTTCTCCTTTACAAACTTTGCCTGAAGTGGATGTTTAATGTAAGCAGCATTGTAGCCTGTGTTTCCATCGAAAGGAACATCAGACATTTTGGCCGCCTCCATTGGTTTCATGGTGGTTCTGGGAGCCTGGTTGTAGCGCTGGTAATCACGGGTGAACGTGCTCTGGCCTTCAAATGGCTGCTGGGGAGGGTTCCAGGTGGAAACATCACCATATCTGTTAGGGCGACCAGCCATTTCCCACTTTCTGTAGTCACCTAGAAACAGAAAAATATCACATGAAATCTCACGTCAAAGAAAACATATATTTATTCAATCACATGCATACAGGTCAAGTCAATCCAACTTATTTATCCTTCAGAGGAAACATTTTAAATGCAACTGACTGTTTACTGACATTGGTACATGATATACTGATATACATATTTCCCTTTCACAGCAAACATACCACGGATCAAAAAACAAATCTGAATCACTGTTGCCATTTCCTGATGTGAGGGAGTAAGGCCTTACACCACTTTTAGCAATATTCCAGCAAAATCATGGCGGGGACACCAGAAATGGGCTTCACACATTGTACCCATTTGGGGAATCGAACACGGGTCTTCGGCTTGACGAACATACACTTAGACCACTAGGCTACTCTACCGCCCCATTTCATGAATTAAAACCCCATAGGAGTCCTAAAAGTTGTTCAGCTTATGGCTAGCCCTAAGTAGAAATATACACTTGTCACCAAGTAGTAAGTGCAGCAGAAGAGGTCAGTTCGTCCACAACAAACCACGGTTTTGTTCTTTTGGGGGAGAAGACTGAGTAACCGGTAAACCTCTCTCAGAAGCAAATTTAATGTAAAACTTTCTTTAAGTGATGCTTCTGTATATCTCAAACAAGTAACAAATATTTCATATGATACAGTATGTCAAACTGATGGGGCAGGAAGGCCTGAAGTGATGGGTTTCTAGCACTTCCATGAAACCCACAGGTATGGTGCAGACAACCCTGGAGTCATTGAGTTTATTTTTACGCCACTTTTAACAATATTCCAGCAATATCATGGTGGGGGACACCAGAAAAGGACTTCACACATTGTACCCAAGTGGGGAATCAAACCTGGATCTTAGGCGTGACAAGTGAACAGTTTAACCACTAGACTACCCCATCGCCCCAACAACCCTGGAAACAATGAGGGCCAGGCTAAGATTCAAACCTATTATTCCTGGTTTCTGGCATATCTGTGAACAATGGATTGTGGTGCCTTAAACAACGTGGCTTCTTGTCACCATTTGTTCCAAGAAAGAGTACAAATACTGGCCTACTCAAAGATATGTACTTACTTTTGTAAGTGGGTTCCCCTTCGAACTTCCCTGGAACATGCTGCATGCCTTGCTGCTTGATGGCCTTAGCTGGAGCTCCCTGCTTCTCTGTGGACAAAATCAACATGGTGAGCATTCTGCAACACATCAGACAGAGAGATAGAGGAACTACTTGCAAACAAGGATAAGCTGAGCACCGACCTGACAATTAACCCGTATTAGCATGTATGAGCGTCGTCCACTGCCGCTTAGCTTGTTAAGCGAAGTGACCCAGGTTGTTCACGCTTCAAGCCAGTTGTTACTACACTGAAGTGAAGAGAAAGGCCAGCTTGTTCAATTTCATCGTCATCAATGCACGCACTAGCCTACATCTGCTCTACCTTTCACAAACCAAATGGGTTTGCTCATTGCCATGCTTGCTACACTGACATCGTTCTCTGCACCGAGACCTTAATTTGAATATGTTGTCTTTGAGTGTTCTTGTTTATCATAAAGAAATGTTTAGCTTGCATGTAGTTTATGTTTTATTTGTTGCATGTCAGTATATGAGAGATATCAAAGTTGTTGTTTTTTCTGTGTTTTTTCCTTTCATAAAACAATACCATTATTTTTATAAACAATTTTAATGAAGTTGTATTTGAATGCAAATATACTTACTTGAATAACATTTTAGGTTCATGAATTTCTTGGTGTTTTTTTAAAACAAATCCACTTTTCAGACAACTGAACTCTTAAACGGAATCGTGACACATTTCTGTGTGATTGTGTTTTGCCTCCAACATATAATATTAGCTAAGAGAATATGGGGGAATAAAATAGATAAAAATTATTTTTCACACTGTATACCATTTTTTATTCTTAATCTGGTTTCTGCAGTGTAATACGTAAAGGATCAAAACCGACTTCAAGGTTTTGTTTGAAAAAGGGAAATAGGGGAGGGTGGACAGCCTGGCCCGACCTGATTTCCCAAGGCCAAGGGCGTACTTTTTCAAACAAAACCGAGGAGGATGTTTTCATTCAACTTATGAACCAACCGAAGGTATACTTTAGATATAATTTTAATATTTGATATTTACTGTTGAAATCAAGTGGGATGCGACTGGCAGCCGACACATGCTCTGCACGCGCAACCCGTGACTTGCATGTGCGCTGCCCGCGCTACCCGTCTTGTGAGGAACACATGGTTCATACTGACAAACAATCTCATTCTACAAAGTGATCCTTTGTAGCCTAGTGGATAAAACCGCCAAGCTAGTAAGCGAAAGGTATCGACACTATAAAATGGAAGTTTTCAATAATGTGATATTTTACAATCGTATTCAGTGATAGCAAGACAAAGTTATATCAATCTTCAAAACAAGTAATAATTCAATGTCAAGGGCTCTTCCTCAGAAAATCCCCAGGATGCGGGCAATTCTGTAGAGAAATCCCACGAAACTGACTGTAGAGGTTTACTCAGTAAAAGGAGAAACTGGCAAGACAATAGAGTGACGTCACTGGAGGTTTATAATTGAGGTTAGAAGATTGTTTTTTGTCTTACAGCAAACAATATTGATTTCCCCAAGTGTTATCATTGGTTGATGTGATACAGTTACACAAACACTCACAGAATACCGAAAAACATAAGTAATCAAATAAGGAAGGGCTAAAAAAAACACTGCCAGGATTTGCAAACTTACAAGAGTTACAATCAGTCAAAGCATGTATAGCATTACCTAGTGTCACGCCAGACAGGTGTGTCATTATTTATTCATGCAAGCATGAAGGTATACACACATTCACACTTCACATATCATGGATACCAGGAGCTCACGCTCTCCGACACAACAGCAAAGCAGGTTGTCAGGGGCAACAAATTGTCATCATGAATTGGTCGCAGTTACCACTGTGGGTTTTTCAATCAGTGTAAATTTGAATAGCAAAGGTTTGAATGGCAATAGATAAGATATACAGCACCTCTTCAACGTCTTTTGAATCCAATATGTTTGAGTGATATTGTCAAGTATTATGTCACACCAGTACACACTAAAGAGCTGAAGGGAACATAGTTCTTCAAGCGTTAGTTGACAATCTGATCAGGATTATTCTGAACTTTTAGAGATTCAAAGTTACATTTTTTATCATCTTGTACTTCTCAGTGTTGGGAGAAAGGTTTGTGGTTTAGTTATACTGCATGAGATTGGATATATCGGAACTTAAAATAACATTTTTTTAAACACCAAAACTTATTGCAACAAACTGAATAATCATGAAACAGTGCAAAGGGATCTCTTTATCCACAAAGCAATTGCATGTATAAAAGATGATTTACAAATCCACTATTTTTGTAACCATTTTTGGGTTTGGTTTTTGTTGACTAAAAATTCTGTAATGGAGAAGTCATAACAATTCTATTTCCAGAATCAACATATTCAAGACATTTCCATGACTTAAGTCATGTTATGGCTGTTGAATAATGTCTCTATAATTATGACCTACAGTTTTACTTGTTTAAATATATGCTAGGAATTTAATACAGAATCAACTCCAACAACAATTGTATGATGTCATCATAATGGTATAAATACTACTCCTTTGCTTTTCAGTCCATAAAATCCAAAACTCTGGTAGCCATTCAGAGAAAATATTCCAAAATTGAAAATATAACGTGTTACATTCAGGGTGGTGGTGGAGTTGGGTTTAAGGTCGTGCTTGAGAATATTTCGCTCATATGACGACGTGCATGCGTGTGTATGTGTATGTGCGCCTGCTTGTAATAGCCCAGACTGAAGCTGGTTTTATAGTGCTAGCCCACTGAGATACCATGCCGCAGTGAAGCATGAATACTCCACTCAGACACATTATACTGACTCCGAGCCGACCAGTCCTTGTTGTACCCATTAATGCCGAGCGCCAGGCAGGGACCAACAAGTACCATATTTTAACGTCTTTTGGTATGACACGGTCAGGGATTGAACCCGCGACCTTCCTATATCCGGGCGGACGCTCTAACCACTACACCACGGAGGCTGCATTACATTCAGGGACAGATATGGTTCCTTGTCTGTTTCTCAGAGTCAAGTGAAAATCTATGGGGACCACTGGTAGTTATTGCCTTTACTAAATCTAGTTACAGTCAAATCCCGATGAGTCGAATCGCTGGGGACCAAGTAATAAATTCGACTTATCGATGTATTCGAGACATAGGTATGTCTATGAGGGTAGAAAAAAAGATGATCCAGTCCTAATTCCTCCACCTAAGCATTTGTTTATCTAATGATTTCCCTATCACTAATAGGGGCACCTTATCAGTTCCAGTCTGATTAGCAAAGACAGTGATTTCCGTAAAATCACTAATCTGCCTTTTGAACTCTCCTGTCAATGGCGGAAAAGTGTGAGCCACGCTGGTTTGTTAATTGGATCAGTTTGCTACACCAATCAACTTCTCATTGACTGACTTCGGCTTATGTATACAAGATTGCTGTTGTTTGAATCTCATGGGACCAAATTTCCATCTTGAGTCATTGTGTGTATTATGAGACGAATTCGTGTAACCGGAAATCAAATGATGACAACTATAACAGGGAATGGTCGGGACCGACAGGTACTTCGAGTTATGCATAATATTCGAGACACCGGCATTCGACTCATCGGGATTTGACTGTATTTTACATAATATGATCTCCAATGAGTTGCACACTATTCAGACATGCTCAGTTGTGTCGGACATTCATGCAGGAACTGTTGCAGTCTCTCCAATAAAGGTCTTGACTAATTATATTTATCTACCCACCTGTGTAATCTTTGTGGTATGACGTCATCATATCATGCTCCCCAGCAGGCCGTTTGTACTCATCAGGGACATGGAACTGAGGGCTCTCGATGGAGTGGGGGATATAGTCCACCCTGAAATACAGGACAACATACAGTAACACACAGAAACGCACGTAGAACTATTGACAAGAAAGACAACAACATTCCAAGCATTGACTAGAATAAAACTAACACCGAGACAAGTCTTTCAGGAGATATTTTGACCAACAAATACATGTACATGTAACGAAATTCACACACAAATATAATATGACACGACAACAAATTGTGTCATCTTCATAAGGAGTCATAAAATCACTTAAAGATAAATACAATTATTCTGTGAATTTCAACATACACATGCCACTGGACAGTGGTGAATCTTAATTTGGGTAATCAAATAGATTAATAGTGATTGTTTTTCCCAACAAATACAAAATTCAGAATATATGATGACACATCCTTTCTTGATTTGCAGATTCATTCAGTTGACATTTTGGGTTTTAGCAGTTTACATTCATAGCTCTAGAGTTAAGATACTAACATGTCAATCTTTGATTTAATTGTTGCATTTTACTAGCACAGATTGTCTTTCAGTATCAAAATATCTTTCACAATTTGGCCTTTAGTATTTAGAATTTGCTACACGTTAATAGATGGTATGGTAAATTTCAAGAAAAAAACTTATATGATTCTTCTTGGACAACAATTAAAACAGTATGATGATATAAATGTGTTTTTATTATAACTAACACTTCAACTGTTTCATATGTTCCAAACTAGCAGTGAACATCATAATGATGTACTGTAAATGAACTATCACTGTAACCATGTGTTGCAATTTGTTTTGTGGTGAAGAAAATGGCAAATGATCAGGTTATTTTTCTTGCGTGTGTTTTTTCAAAATTCAGATGAAAGACTGAGAAATAATGCTGTATGTACTGTGTGTTTAAGCCACCAGTCCACTTCCACTAAAATTGCGTCCAGTCCAGTAATAATACTACAAGTCTACAGAAATGGTAATCAGCTCCAATTTTGGTTAAGTCAACTCAAACGTCTGTAAATGTATGGTGTTTATGTTCTGAGTCGTGACTGATCATTAATCATTGATCAATTGATTTCTCAAACCAAGGATCAATCTTGAAATTCAAACCAATTCTCCACACGAACGAGTCAAGCTCATGCACCAGAAGCATTAACTGAGTGAAGAAAGGTAACAGTTGGTAAATCTATACAGTACTACCAATCTCTAACCATGAAACAATGCCTTATCCAATCAATATTTCAGTAGAAAACCTACGTAAACAAATACTACCTTGTTGCTAGGCGGATGTAAAAGTAAGTTTGCCACAAAGATTACGTTCCTTAATGATCATTATTGACGTTGGTGCCAGGCAATTATTGACAACAGTTGATATTTATTGTTTATAGCAGCTGGAGTAAACAATGAGATGTGCAGTGAAGAATGATACTGTCTAGAGCAGCAAGCATGACATGTATGAGGTAATTACTTAAGCCTGATGACAAATCTTACTTGATACTGGCAACAGTTTATTTATTGATGATTTACAGTGACAAGGACGTATCTATAATTAGCATCAAAGCAAGCCAATCAATTTGCACAGTCAGCATATATTCTTTTGGGGCCATAAAGGAATACATAAGGTTGATTTGTGGTATCAAGGTGGTGGTGGGGTAGCGTGTTCGATTCCCAAAATGGGTACTATTCCCATCATGGTATTACTGGATAATTGTTAAAAGCTGTGTAAAACCATACTTACCATGGTGTCACCCAGACTTTTACAAACAAATCAAGCCACTTGCTATAGCTAGTTTCATGTATAGGGATTCTACTGTGTGTACAGGCTAATGCCGATTGTGATTACACCTGCAGTATTTCTTATGTAACATTTTCCATGCAGAGATCTTTGTACATATCTCTTCAGTACCTGGCTACAGTGTAGTGCTTGGTTTGAGATAGGCATGTTTTGGGAATTAACACTTTTATTTTTCTCACATAAATAAAATAACAAACTCTAATCTTTGGAAACTTGTCTGCAAGAAAAGGGCACATTGTTTTTTCTACAGAGTGGGGCCTATGTAGAAATAACTCAGTAAAATAGGGGCTACATTCTTAGAAAACCCTAAACCTTCCCCCCCAAGTCAATTGGTAGTTCCTTAACCTACAACAGGGGCTACATTCTTAGAAAACCCTAAACCTTCCCCCCCAAGTCAATTGGTAGTTCCTTAACCTACAACAGGGGCTACATTCTTAGAAAACCCTAAACCTTCCCCCCCAAGTCAATTGGTAGTTCCTTAACCTACAACAGGGGCTACATTCTTAGAAAACCCTAAACCTTCCCCAAGTCAATTGGTAGTTCCTTAACCTACAACAGGGGCTACATTCTTAGAAAACCCTAAACCTTCCCCCAAGTCAATTGGTTGTTCCTTAACCTACAACAGGGGCTACATTCTTAGAAAACCCTAAACCTTCCCCCAAGTCAATTGGTAGTTCCTTAACCTACAACCTACATTCTTAGAAAACCCTAACCTTTCCCCAAAATCAATTGGGTTCCCTAACCTACAACAGGGGCTACATTCTTAGAAAACCCTAAACCTTTCCCCAAAATCAATTGGTTGTTCCCTAACCTACAACAGGGGCTACATTCTTAGAAAACCCTAAACCTTTCCCCAAAATCAATTGGTTGTTCCCTAACCTACAACAGGGGCTACATTCTTAGAAAACCCTAAACCTTTCCCCAAAATCAATTGGTTGTTCCCTAACCTACAACAGGGGCTACATTCTTAGAAAACCCTAAACCTTTCCCCAAAATCAATTGGTAGTTCCTTAACCTACAACAGGGGCTACATTCTTAGAAAACCCTAAACCTTTCCCCAAAATCAATTGGTTGTTCCCTAACCTACAACAGGGGCTACATTCTTAGAAAACCCTAAACCTTTCCCCAAAATCAATTGGTAGTTCCTTAACCTACAACAGGGGCTACATTCTTAGAAAACCCTAAACCTTTCCCCAAAATCAATTGGTTGTTCCCTAACCTACAACAGGGGCTACATTCTTAGAAAACCCTAAACCTTTCCCCAAAATCAATTGGTTGTTCCCTAACCTAACTGAGAATTTCAGTGTCACTGTTGTCACCCATGTAGTATTGACAAAGATCTCAAGTATAACTATACATACCTGTGCGTAGTCCGGTCTTCCAGGGGCCCTTCCCCCTTGATGGCTACTGCGGGGGGTTTGCATGACTCCCGGGGCACAATAGGGTGGGCCCTGTAGGTTGTGTTGTACTCCGACAGCAAGCATGGTCTATCTCCCCTCCCGATAGTCACATTGGGCCGATGTGGGCAGCGATGGCGCCTGTGAGAATAAATCAAATGTACAACTCAGAATTCAAATTTGTATTCATCACGATACTTAAAATCATTTTGGTTTTTTTACAGGAATATTAAATTTATTTCTCCCATTATTTCCAAGTATGAAATATGACCATTGTTTTCCAAGGTTATGAAAAGGGTCTGCTCATTAAAATATTCCAACAATCAATGGCAAACCATGTCTAAGACATTCCACCCATACATTAGGTAGATATTAAAATGATCAGCAAATGATACCAAACATTGTCAACAATCAAACAAACAATATTAGGTAATCATCATAATCCTAAACACTGTTCCGTGTTAAAGTAAGTGAAGGATTGCTGCTTAACAAACATTAGTAATCTTGCAGCTATTCCTGGGAATCCTTGTTAAAGGTAAACAAGTGGAAAATGTACAGTGTTTAATGGTTGCTTTCATATCAGGGTTCCACATACGTTCATTTTCTAGGAAACTGGTTGTCAAGCAAAATGTAACTTACAAAACTATCGCTAAATCATAAAAATATCCTAACACCACTTTTTACAAGCACAATTACTGTATTTTTGTATTTTCATCTGGTAATATGGTGTTCAAGACATCACCTGTTTTCAAATCAAAACATTTTCTCCATACCTTAAATCAGTTTCCAGTTAATCTGAGTTTGAGTACCAAACGTAATAATGATCAGTTGATGACAATATGGAAAACAATTCTTTAAGTTTCAAAAAACTGTACCTGACCCTGTTGAAATGTATAAACGCTCCTAATCATTACTGATCTTACATGAAAACAAAGCATACTTCTCTATACTTGAACCAACCTTGGATATGATCAGACATTATTAGGTTAGGTCGGTTACCCCTTGTGATAAATGTCTACCAATCTTTCAAGAAACGTATTATGCTGCTCCAGAAGACCAAATCTGATAAATGTTTCTTTGTACTATATATCATACTGTCATTGATTACATCTAATCACTCAGAAAATCAATAATCCTGGATAATCAAAGTCAATAAATGTATCAGCTGAAGATCAATAGCCTGTGAATTGGTTACAGGGGCAATGGTGTACATACAATGGCAGAGTGTTCATTACATGAGCTTATTGCTGTCAGAGCTCTATTTCCAATGACGAATGGAATGACCGTTGTTCAATGAAACGTAATCAATCATCTGTTATCGTCTGTTCAACTTTAAAAACACATGCTGAATAATGAAAAGAAAACTATTAACTCTCACTATGTCTACCATATGTAAACTGAACTGTTTCTTGATTCTATTCCAAATTTATTTACTCATAAATTTCAAAATGGATAAATTAATTCTTCAAAAGAGTTTCCACTACATATGATAAGAGCCTTTAGTATTTAATTTTGAGTAAGTGAGTTTCAGTTTTATGCTGATTTTAGCAATATCACAGCGGGGGAAGCTAGAAATGGGCTTCACACATTGTACCCAAGTGGGGAATCAAACACGGGTCTTTGGCCTGACAAGCAAAGGCTATAACCAGTAGGCTACGCCCCATTTAATTTTTAAGTTCCATGTTCAGTTCATCAATAATATTAACAGATCTCAAAATGTCTTTAAATGCTGATAACCAAATATTTTTCAAATATAAATTAAAACGGAAAGTATTTAATACATGCATGTGAGCATATATAAATTACATTAAAAATATATGTTCTAAACAGATAGAAACGACCTATTATTTCAGTACTGTTACTATCCAAACAAATATTTTGAAGGGAACTATTTAGAATATAACTGATTATAAATTACCTTTTTATCAGATTTACTTTGCAATAGATCCCTGTGGCGTTAGAAATGTTGCTTGACATTTCTTATCCAGAAAGGGGATCAACTGCTCCCATGACACTACAACCCAGCCCCCAGCAGTGTACCTGACAATAAAGCTGAGAGCAGGTCCTCAAAGCTGACTTCTTGAAAATATACCCGAGACCTTATCTGGGAGATGGGGGGGTGCTACTATCAGCTTTATTTCTTTATTGATTTCAGATTTTGACATACTCAAGTTTCACCTTGTGTCGTTCTCCTGGGGTAGACATGTTGTAATGTATGGCAGCTTCTCATGTAGTAAATAAATGGCTAACTTAGCGACTCAGAAAGCCAGTGTGTAATGTATAAGGCCAAGGATTTGTTATTACATTTTTTACTGAAACATGTATTAGATACCATTGTTAGATCAGAACATAAATCTTGTTTCCCATAAAATGGAATTTTTATATTTCTTTATTATTTTTTTTTCAGCAGGTTACAAATCTATAACTTGGTTTTAGTTGCAGGTTATATACTCATGCCAATAATGGTTGTCACCCCCTTCAAATTTTTTTTATTGGAGAGGGGGTAGGGGTGTGTGTGGTTGGGGTGTGGAGGGCATGAGTATATATTTTCAACCAAAACCGAAGATGAACCATCAGAATATTGGCATTGGCAGAAGAAAGACTATGTGCTCATGTGCTCACAACTGAAGTGATGATTTGTGAAACTGAAGACCCTTTCCCTGCCTACCTCAGTGGCTCAGTTGGAAGACAGCAGGTTACAATACTAAACTTTTTAGTTTTAGGTTCTTTTCACGCCATGGACATATCATGTTAGTTTTGTTTGTTTGTTGTTTAATGCCTCACTCAGCAACATTCCAGCTAGATGGTGGTGGTCTGTTAATAGTCACGTCTCCACCAGACCAACTAGTGATCAGCATCATGAGCATCAATCTGCGCAATTGGGGCATGATTATGTGTCAACCAAATCAGTGAGCCAGACCTCCATATCTCAATAGTTGCCTCTGATGGCATAGGTTGCTGAAGACCAATTCTAACCCAGGTCTTCAAGGGTATGGAATTATCACATGAATCTACACTTTTCACGAGTCAAAAATCAACATTAGACACATTTTAAAAGGAAGTTTATAAAGTTGAGTACTTTGATGTTATAGAGACTATCAACTGAGTTTGTGGGCTTTCCACTATTAGATGACACATCATTATTTACATACATTATATTTTTATGACTTCTTTTGGACACCTTTAGGAATGAGTAACATTCTTTCGTTTCCAAAGGCAACACATTTTATGATTAATGTGATGTCATAGGTGCATGTACAAGCACAAATCACCAAATTATATTCATATCATATTCAAGAGGTGCTGGGAATAGGATAAGATCTCAAAGACTCATTACCAGTTTCATAAAGCACACAATGATTGACCAATCATGTATAAGAGCAGAGAAATCATACATTTGGAGAATTTCTTCTCCATATTCTTCACAAAGGTTTTTTGTGTTTATACATGCTATATACTCAATCTTTATCATAAGTTAACAATCTGAAAGAAGTTTAGTCTGAACTAAAGCCTCTTTGGTTTTAACTATTATGGCATGAATTTGAAAATGTTATATCATAATTTGGGAATATTTACTGACATCTGCTGCAGATGAGAGGCCACAGATTGGTGTTTAAATAACTCCTTTAAAAACCCAGCGTGGTTACAATTGCAAGTTGTCTTGGACAAAATCTCGTGTACAACCCAAGACACCAGCAAAATACAATTATCACTCCAAACTTGAATCACTACCTTTTATGGTATTTAATATTTAATACGAAAATGGATAATACTAGTAAGTTCTAAAAGATAGGTTCGGTCTTCTAGACCTAGATAACATATATATTCTCGCTAGGGGGTTCCAGTTTGAGTACAAAGAGCACCTTCAAAATTAAATGTTTATTCAACAGCACGAAATAAGAATTATTTTCTGTTACCTAGTGAGGTATATATAATTATTCTGACTCTTGTCTAGTTATAATTAAGCTGTGCTATATTTAGGGGATAGACCCCCGTTCCAAACAAGACTAGCAAAAATAAAAGATAACATTTTTCCTAGTGAAAGCAAAAGGGCATGACAGGGAGATGTGAAAAACGACAATCTGGCCACGGCAATGTGTTTGAAATGTCCCTGCCGACAGATAGTTCATGCATGGTCTTTTAAACTATTTAAAATCGGCCATCCAGGAGCATCTTAACAAAAGTTATACAAATGCTTTAGTTTTTACCTGTTATGTACTGAAAAGAATATATTAACGACGAAATCATGTGTGCTTCAGGAGAAACTTTCTTCACGTAGTTGTTCTTCACACCTCATATCAACAGGACCAGTGATATTTCACACTAAAGTCATAATAAACTACTTACCCGCATGTGCAAATCTCACATATGCATCTCCTCTTCGTCATTATTGGAAAATTGAGACGTGATATCTGGATGCAGTTTGTTTCAAGGTTGCGATTAGATATCACTGTTTCTTCTGGAGCAGGTGGTTACGATGAAACACAGGTCGCCAAGCAGACAACACAATATGTTTATCAAAAATGGCGGATGGCAACAGGGCAGTCCAATGTAGGGGTATCAGGTTTCGTCACAATCCATAAATCACATGTAGGGGGGATTTGCGCACGCAGTGAATCACGCACGCAAATGATATTTGTATTTACACAGAAAAACAGTCAGACGAAAAATATTGTTAACTGATCATGGCAAAACGGAAATGAAAGTGTTGATAGCGGTAAAAAGAAATACCCTCACAAAGAATGGGATACACCCACCGCGCAGTGTCACCTGGTGGTTGATTACTGTACTAATGCCGATATGTCACGTTGTGCATAGTCAGATAGGTGGCACATATGAAGGAATGTAGACAATACACTTGCTCGATCGGACACCTTTCATAAAAGTTTATATCATTATTTAAGAAATTATTTCATGATCTGAGTGAATATCAGCGCGATTAGATTCTTTGTAACGCCATGTGGTTGCACTGGCAAGTAGATCTATATGGTTGTGTTTGTTAGTTTCTTAGTTACCAACACCTTTGTGTGTTAAAATATTTACGAGTGGTTAAAAGTAGAAAAGGTGCAACTTGTTGATTAATATTTTTTTCACTCGAAACCAAACAGTTGATTACTTTTATTATTTCCCCATGAGCATCGACCTAATTAAGTGAGATACAATGACATGCTCAATCCAAATCCGATACCGTTAGTACGAGACGCGTTCAAAAAGTAGTCAGCCTAACTATATTATATGTTTGAAAAGCTTCCATTTCATTTTGAAGGAATCATTAGCAAAGCCATATCTTTAGAATTTCACATATGTGGGTAATGTGGTTAACGAGATATTAGTCATCACTACACATTGGAGTATAATATTTCTTTAAAAATTGCAGAAAATGAAAAACGATCTGCCATTTGGTACTTTTTGGATAATGGTATGCCCTCAGATAATATCATATAAAATATGTTCAGTAAAGTATTGGATGACTTCCCGTCATAATCAACATTCAAAGATTTGGACTGCATGAGGCGTGTTTTTTAAGGACACTCGGAACTCCCATTTTAATCTTTCAAAAACATTGTGTCCAGATATTCAAGTTGGCATGCACTGTTTACAATATATTGAGTGCTGAAACTTGTGTGACCATTCCGCATTTAGTTTGAACCCTTGGCATCATGTATGAATAAGTGAAAACATTAGATTAAGTTATGTCCTTATGATTACGTCATCTTAAAGGGGGGTGGGTATAGTGTCTCCAAAACTAGCTCTTTCAGTAAACATGAAGAGGGGATCGAGTTCAATTTAACAAGCGATTGCAGTTTCAAATTGCTTTTGTATGCACTTTAATATCTAAGTTTGATTCTAGCGGACTTCTGCCTATCTTAAACACATACATGTAGTATGTTTCTTACATATTTTGTTTCCTGAAGTGTGTGATGCATTTATTTGCAGATTTGCATTTTGGGGGGGTACCAAGATAAAAGTCAAGCAAAATGGGGATCGGGAGGCAGGAACATAGCAAAACCAATTTGCTTGAGGTTGACAGATAATATATAGAGAAATTAAAACATAAAAGCAGCTGCATTTGTATCATTTTCTAGGTGAGGCTGACTACTTTTTGAACGCCCCTCGTAACCTCGTGCAAGCACAAAACCGGGTCTTCATGGGTGCTCGCATTGATCAACAAAGATGAAATACAGTTTCGTCTGGGACTTAACAGGGAAATGCAGCAGAGTATGAAATAAGCCAAAAACCCTGCCAGACATCAGGGCTGGTAACTTCAAAATGTTACCAGCCCAAAATGAATTTAACCAGACCAGACAATCCAAAGAAAATACCTAAAATTTTAGTTACAATGAATAATTTAATTAACCTGATACATGTATTTACTGTTTAACAGTCTATTCACACAGGTCATTTTGAGAGAAATCCGACTCCGAGATGTAGTCAGAGTCGAAGGGATGGAACATTGTAACAGACCATCGGGATGGTGAGCTGTAAATTTAGATCGTCCGTCAGAAATCTATCCCGTCTCGGGTGGTCGGACGGGCCTTATTTCATACACTGAATGCAGACATGTTGGTGTGTTATATCGGTAAAATGAGAAAAGTCTCTTGCATGATATTGTGCAATTTTCCTTTGCTCTATTTAGACTTTGCCGCAAACTAATGATTTCTCTTGACCATTGGTTATCAATCAAATCGTGTATATGATAACAGTTAATGTGTAAAATGTAAAATTTCTCTCAGGCAATTAATAATACCCCTTAATATATTTGCTTCTTTTTTTAAATTAGCTGCAAATATATGTCCATCTATGGACGCGAGAGTGAGTGAGTATGGTTTTACGCCGCTTTTAGCAATATTCCAGCAATATCGCGGCGGGGGACACCAGACATGGACTTCACACTTTGTACCCATTGACCTGAGAAGATCCGGGTTAGAATTGGTCTTTAGCAACCCACGTTTGTCGTACGAGGCGACTAACGGGATCAGGTGGTCAGGCTCGCTGACTTGGCTGACACATGTCATCGGATTCAAATTGCGTAGAACGATGCTCATGCTGTTGATCACTGAATTGCCTGGTCCAGACTTGATTATATACAGACCCTCGCCATATAGCTGCTATATTGCCGAATGTGGCGTAAAACAACAAACCAACCATCTATTATGAGAACAATTGTAAACAGTATAAAGTTTAATGCAGCTCCTTGTGACTGAAAATAGGATTGAAAGAACACGGAAGTCAACATACATTTTATATTGTTGGCGTTTAATCCCAGAAAAATCAGCCTAGTGTGATGTTTCAAGCACCACATGTCATCGTAGTTGGATGCTCATGCTGTTAATCACTGGATTGTCTCGTCCAAACTCCATTATTTACACACTGTAGCCATATAGCTAGAATATGGTTGTGTGAGGCGTTAAACAACAAACAAAACATAAAAAACAGGTACCCCTACGCACCTATAACAAGACATTTTGAAAACGACGTCTGTGAACACCTTCCCAAGCATAAGAGGAATGTATCCATCAATATCCACATAGACTGACTGACTGACTGAGTTTGGTTTTACGCCGCTTTTAGCAATATTCCAGCAACATCACGGGGGGCTTCACACATTGTACCCATGTGGGGATTCGAACCAGGGTCTTCGGCGTGACGAGCCAACGCTTTAACCATTAGGCTACACCACTGCCCCTCCACATAGAACAATACCCAAGCATACATACATAGCTGACGTTTTCAAAGTCAAACGTCTTTTTAGAAATCGAATATTGTGAAATACATAGAGACTGTATATATTATAACTGTTGTTAGATTCTCAAATGGCCACGCAAGTGTGTTTGTGGGTGTATTCCGTCTGCTTTTGTAACCCTGCATACATATAAGGTAAAATTTGTAACAATTGACCATGAGTAAGTTACAAGTGAATAGTGACATATGTTTATTCCATCTAACATGGGTGACACCGAGGGAGAGGTTATTGCTGTATGCTGTTTCGTTGCTTTTGAAACTAAAGGTTGCTGCTGTATAGAGAATATGAACGGAACTTCACTGTTTCAAAATAATGCGTACACTTATGGACTCACTTCAGCAGTACCACTACATGCTCAGTAGACTCACTTCAGCAGTACCGCTACATGATCAGTAGACTCACTTCAGCAGTACCACTACATGATCAGTGGGCTCACTTCAGCAGTACGGCTACATGATCAGTGGGCTCACTTCAGCAGTATCACTACATGCCCAGTAGACTCACTTCAGCAGTACCACTACATGATCAGTAGACTCACTTCACCAGTACCACTACATGATCAGTAGACTCACTTCACCAGTATCACTACATGATCAGTAGACTCACTTCACCAGTACCACTACATGATCAGTAGACTCACTTCACCAGTACCACTACATGATCAGTGGACTCACTTCACCAGTACCGCTACATGATCAGTGGACCCACTTCAGCAGTACCACTACATGATCAGTGGACTCACTTCAGCAGTACCATTACATTGTCAGTGGGCTCACTTCAGCAGTATCACTACATGATCAGTGAACTCACTTCAGCAGTACCACTACATGCTCAGTGGACTCACTTCAGCAGTACCACTACATGCTCAGTAGACTCACTTCAGCAGTACCACTACATGATCAGTAGACTCACTTCAGCAGTTCCACTACATGATCAGTGGGCTCACTTCAGCAGTACGGCTACATGATCAGTGGGCTCACTTCAGCAGTATCACTACATTGTCAGTGGACACACTTCAGCAGTATCACTATATTATCAGTATACCCGCTTCAGCAGTACCGCTACATGATCAGTAGACCCGCTTCAGCAGTACCACTACATTGTCAGTGGACTCGCTTCAGCAGCACCACTACATGATCAGTGGACTCACTTCAGCAGTACCACTACATGATCAGTGGACTCACTTCAGCAGTACCGCTACATTATTAGTGGACTCACTTCAGCAGTACCACTACATGATCAGTAGACTCACTTCAGCAGTACCACTACATGATCAGTGGACTCACTTCAGCAGTTCCACTGCATGATCAGTAGACTCACTCACTTCTAAGCTCAGTACCACTACATGCTCAGTAGACTCACTTCAGCAGTGGACTCACTTCAGCAGTACCACTACATGATCAGTAGACTCACTTCAGCAGTACCACTACATGATCAGTGGACACACTTCAGCAGTATCACTATATTATCAGTAGACCCGCTTCAGCAGTACCACTACATTGTCAGTAGACTCACTTCAGCAGTACCGCTACATTATTAGTTGACCCTCTCAAGCACTTCAGCGGTACCACTATATTTCATAAACCCTAACGGCAGTTCCCACAAAACAACCAAACAATATTTGATCAGGAACAAATTTTAATCACAGTAAGACCAAAGTCTTGCTTCACAAATATTTAGTGTCCATCTCATAAAGAATGTTCTGGTCATCAAACAAAAACTGGAATTTGTATGAACACACTCAATTATTCTTCAACAATCACATAACAATCTCTAAATGTCGTAGTGCATCTGGCGAACTCTTCTTGAGTATCTGAGTGACTGTTTGGTGAGATTTTGATCACTCTTAATGTCCTTCGTTCTGAGTTCTTTCCCAGGAGTCACCTTGGTCTTTCTCTCATCCATGGTCTTCTTCACACTATCCCCACAACCAGAGGGTGTGCTCCTGTTGTTCTGTGCAGGCTGGATCTTGGCCGGTACTCTGCTTTTGGTTTTTCCTGTATAGGGTCTTTGTGCCTTCTTCGGGTAGGCTGGAGGAGCTACCACTGGGAGACTGGCTTGTGCCTTGACTGGAGTTTGGCAGGTCAGAGATAGAGCCTGACGCCGGATGGATTTCAGCTGCCTGAGCTCTTGCTCCAGCTTCTTCTTCTGCTCTGCCTCCGCCTGTTTCTCATTCTCCCAGCTATTGGTGAGCTCCTCCAGCGTCTGTTTTAGTTCCTGCAGTTCGGCATGCTCCATTGTCAAACTGAGCTTGAAATTTAGATATTCTACTCTGAACTCCGCCCTCTCTTTTTCTGCTTTACGTCTCAGTTCCTGTTCACGTCGGAGCTCGCGGCTCTGTTGCTCATTCACCTGGCGCAGGTTCTCGTTTTCTTGGAGAAGATGGTCAAGAAGGCTGCGGAAAGAGACATAAATTGCTTCAAAACACATGTGTTATGATTATACAAGAGTATGCAACAACTGTCCTCAAAATGCCTTTCATATGATTGAATATATAATTTCATACTTCTGTTTGTAATATCTCCCCACAACACAGTTTATTCTCAGATTCAGGAGTACTGACGGTATATTTTCGGGCCCCTTTTGGATATGTTTTGCCACCGGAAAACAGAAATAATATCTAGTCGTTCAGCTTCTGCTTACCTCTCTTCCATATCTCCAACTTGAGCTTTTAAGTCCATGTATTGGGCTAAAAACAAAAAACACGAACTGTGTTAAACAAGTCCAACATCAGGACGTGATCAGTGACCTGAACGCAGATTCTCTTCAGATGTTTAGCATATTGATAAAGATTCCGCATCCACTTGAAACATTAGATTTGTAAATCTATGTGACTTACAAAAACGCATTCCAATTTATCTATTTGTGTTGTCACTCTTAAATAAATAATATAAAAAAACTTCAAATAGAGTAGACCGATGACCTACCAAGTAATTCAGTGTTTAGTTCCTTTGATCTAGGGCTAGACAAGGTAGAGGCCGCCTCGTCTTCCATCTCGAGGATGGGAGAGAGAAGTTTTCGTTGCTTCAAACGACCTTCCGTGCACAAAGCCATCTGTTTGATAGAAAAAAAATACATATTCTTTTTAAATTTCGAAATTTGAAGAATTTCCGTATAGATTGCTAAATGATATCTTTTGCACTTGTTATATGAAATTCCGTTTTTGGCACTTTCGGAAATGCCTCTCCCGACGAATGAGGTCAAGATTATTTAATGGCGTGTTTTTATTTTGGAAATGCAAGATAAAAAGCACATAAATAGTATAGTCTTTTCAACAGACTTGCTTACCTCGTCTGCAGCAGATGAAGCTCACAGGTATGAAATATCAGCAATCTTCAACAGTAATAGGCTGATGTTTATGACAAGCAACAAATGTACGTCTGAGCACAAAGACAATGCGCTTAGAACTGAGAACTTGGACTAGGAACGTCGTCATGGAACCATTCTATGACGTCATTGCTATTGTGACGTCACACACACTGTTTGCTTATCATGGACAACTCATTTTGAATGTAATGTTTCGGTTCCTGAAGTTCGGCATGCTCACACCATAGTTAAACGATCCATGAAAACACGGGTTAGAATTGTCCTCGGCAGCTCGTGCCTGTAAGAGGCGACTAACGGAATCGGCTGATCAGGCTCGCTAACTTGGGTGATACATGTCATCGTATCCCAACTGCATTGATCGATGCTCATGCGTTTGATCACTGGATTGTCTGGTCCATACTCGATTATTTACACACCGTCGTCATAAAGCTAAAATATTGCTGAGTGCGGCGTTAAACGACCAACAAACCAAAACCACGTGTCCCCCAGAGGATCCGACCCGTAGGCAATGCGTCATACGCGTATAGGGAAGTATAACTACTCAGGTCTGTGTGGTAACCCTATGGTAAAAGCGTTTGTTCATCACGCCGATGACCCCTTGTTCTATTCCCCATATGGGTACTATGTATGAAGGCCATTTCTGGTGTCCCGAGCCGCAATATTGCTGGGATATTGCTTAGAGCGGCGTAAAACCATAGGGAAGTATAACTAAGAGGCCTGCGGGGTAACCCCATGGTTAAAGCGTTTGCTCGTCACGCCGAAGACCTCTTGTTCGATTTCCCACATGGGTACAATTAGTGAAGCCCATTTCTCCTGTCCCGAGCCGCAATATTGCTGGAATATTGCTAACAGCAACATAAAACCATACTCATTCACACACTCATTATAACTACTACTTTCGTTTAGGTAAATGTGCAGTTCTAATTATGAACAAGTTTAGTTTGCTTACATGGCAGTCTATATCAAAACCAGAGGCCGTTCCCAGACTGTCTTTAATTAATTATACCCTGTCTCACAGTGCCTAATCCACAATATTTTCCTTAACGCCCAGCGGTTTCTGTAATGGGAGAGTTCTAAATGAAGCAAGTCTAGATCTCCTCAGGTTCAGGAATCTACGAGCTCACTGGCATCCTTGTCAGTGTAAACAGAGTTATTTGTTTCTTTCAAAATTATTGTTTTCAGAGACTAAGCTTTTGTCTAAAATAATTAGTGCATTGGTCGTTCTGATAAAACTGACAGTTAACTATCCCAGGCTTTGAAAAAGACAGCTTCAATGTATGTAAATATACGTGGCAGCCATCATATATGTGTACTTGAACACTGAGAAGGTCACACACTTTTTAATATGGATCTCCGAATGTAAGAGTTCGTAAAAATCTACCTTAGAGGACTTTGTACTTTAGACAATGGATATGAATGTCAGATAAAAGTCTCACTTTCATCATTATCGCTATGAAAACTGTCTAAAAATCCTTTAACGGCATGATACAAATGTTTGGTTCTCGACTAACACGCAACACAATAAGGGACCGTTCATAATAATTTATGGCTAGTGTGTGTGTGTGGGTGGTGGTGGTGGTGGTTTTGATGTGATGATTTTAACGAGAAGCATGTTCAATGTGAATTACCCCTAAAATGTATGTACAGAATATGTGACCCCCCTGCATGTCATGTACAAAATCAATGAACCCCCTCCCCTTCCCATACTTTCTAAGCATAATTTTAAACATGCTTTTATGAACAAAACTGCTGAACCCCCACCCACCCCTAGTACGTGTGTACAAAATTGATGACCCCCTTAAAATCATCATCACCACCACCAAACACATACACACCCAAAAAAACCCCAAAACCCAAACCCACCCACCACCACCACCCCACCACCCCAACCCCCACCCATTAATTATGAACGGTCCCTAAACACAAAAATATATTATTGCTCTGTGTGGAACATAATAAAAATGAAAGTTCAAGTTTAAAGGAAAAGCTAAGATATATGAAAAACCAAAGACATAATGAAAATATGAATGTCATATAGTTAGCTATCGTTTAAGCGACTCTTGAAGCCGTGGTATAAAGAGTAGTATTTGGATATTGGGTGCGCTTGCACCAAGGAGAGAGTGCCCATTTGAGACGGCAAAGAATGGGGGGAGTTATTTCCCTTTTACGGAAGTGTTGTAATCCGACAGGTGGCGCTTGCCGGAAGCACATGTGCAATAGTTGTTATTGCCACTCGTAATGACATATTGTGTAAATTAATACTTATATGAAGTTGATCTTTCACATATTGAAACAGAAATGATATAGCAATATGTAAGTATTACCTTCGTAGTTATGTTATTAATATCCTGTGGATATAATTAGTAATATTCTTATTTTCACCAACCGATATTGTTGAAATTCTGACAGCCTTCCATCGCAATACCGCGTGAGCCCGTTTTGATTACCTTCATTTAAAGCACAAGACTGTGTTATCTGTCCATAACTACTGCTGCTGTAACTGTAATGTAGTTGTACAACAACAGCGCTACAACTGCTACCCTTAGACACTCACATGCCCCCGAACAGAAGTCCGTAAATTACGTTGTATGTTTTGATGATATTCTACCCTTTCATATATATTAGAGACCAGCCTATTTCATTTATATTTATCAGTATTCCGATTGACCTCTGTACTGACACAAAATCTGACCAAAAATACAGATGCTCACTGAACACATGATTACTGGTTATGCAGCTTTTCACTTTGTATAAACCATTCTAACATTTTTATTCCAATTAAATATGTAAGGTAAATTGTGTTTATCATCTGTTTCAGTTCTAGAGTATTTTAATTTGGAAGTATACATCATCAATATGAGGACCAAGACACTGGATCAGTTAGCAGCGCTTCAGAAAACTCCCAGCAATGTTCGCAACATATGTATTCTGGCTCATGTAGATCATGGTAAGTATTGAGTTGGATACCTTGTTACATCTGTGTTCATGAATAGATGTAATGCAGTAGCATGTTCACCTGTTATATGGCAGCATTCTGTAACAGTGTAAATAATCTAGTCTGGACCAGACAATCCAGTGATCAACAGCATGAGCATTGATCTATGCAATTGGGACACTATGGCATTTGTCATCCAAGTCAATGAGCCTGACCACCCGATCCCGTTAGTCGCCTTTTACAGGGGTGGAAATAACCCATTGCCCGACGTCCCAGTCTAGTGTTTTTTCTGTCGGGCAAGCAAATTTGCATATCATGCTGTACCTGTGTCCATTTGACTTTCCAATGTTAATTATGTTGTTTACTTAAAAAATCAAGAAGAAAATAGGCCGGTATAGTGGAAAAATTATCAGGGCAAGTGATTTTACACGTGCCATTGTACCGGAGTACATCAGCAATTTTAAAGTTAATTCCACCCCTGCCTTTTGGAATTTATGACAAGCATTGGTTGCTGATTCTACCCCAGATCTTCGTGGTTGCTTACTTCAGAAGTACCCTTGCTTCTCAGATCATATTAGAAATACGTCTGTTGAACAAAAAAAATTTTTTGATCATGTCAAGTGAAGTTTATGAACTGTGATAAACAGCTGATTCGCATTGGCAGCAACTTAAGTCTTGGCATAATTTATCTCAGAGACCTGTGAAGGTCCGGGTTAGAATATTGATCTGATAACCCCAGTAAGCCCGGGATGCAGGCTTGCTGACTTGTTGATACATGAGGCCCAATTGCTAATGCTCATGCTGTTGATCACTGGTGTCTGGTCCAGACTCAGTTATTTACCGACTTATTGCTGAGTTGTAAAACTAAACTAACTTCGCTATATATCTCAGAAACATGTGGCAACAGACATTAATCACTACAGGATTTGATATATATATGCTTTCATGCTGTTGATCACTGGACAAAGTCTGCAATAGTCTCACCAAATGAATCTCAAGCCTTTCTATGTTTTGTGGTATTCACAGGAAGACAACTCTGGCTGCGCCCTGGTATAGCAATGGCATCATCTCCCATTGGCTGGGAGTGCGGACAGTGGAGGATGAAGGAGAGAGGCATCACCATGAAGTCGTGCCATTTCTCTCTTCTATCTCACAAAAGGTGGGTGTTGGTCATGTGTATATTTCTTTAATTAATCAATAATATGGATGTGATAAAAATCAATATACATCGACACATTTTGCTGCAATAGATCTCACCAAACATGCTTGCGTGTCCTATTTCTAAAACTTTATCGATTCAAAGGATGCTATATCCATCTCCGTCAAAGTCTTGATAGTAAAATTAGACCAGATGGCTGGATAAATAGATGTAGCTAGCTTTACTTAAAAATAAGAAACAGCTTTTGTGATTGGCTACACTATTTTGATGGACCAATCACCATGAAGTAATGCTATGAAAAGGCTGATAATTATATCTCGCTATCACAAAGGTTATCAATGTATATTTCTTTGGTGTATCGTGACACCAATAATATATATTCTACAATTAAAGTATTCATATGATTCATTTACCTATTACAGTGAATATGTGAATGTCTTGATTGTAAAATCAACCAACATGATGATTTCTGTATTGAATGACTAGAGTATTGAGTTCCATATCTTCTTGACTGTAGTGCATGCCTAAGTATAATGTGCACCTCTCAGGGATTCAGTATTTTTATCCCCCGGCGCACGTTTAGCACAAAGCAGGGGATATGGTATTACGCTCCGTCCGTTCGTACGTACGCATCGGTTCGTACGTACGAATTGAAATATCTTAAGAACCGTTGACTAGATTCTTTTCATATTTGGTACCTAGGTACATCACAGTATAAAAAAGGTCCCAGTCGGGTTTAGTGACCGTGACCTTCATTTCAAGGTCACACGGGCACTTTAACGTTTTACCTTTGCCAGCAAGATATCTCAAGAACCGTTTTCTGGATTTTCTTCATATTCAACACAAAGCTTTTCCTAGGGAAGACACAGGGCCCAGTCGATTTTGGTCACCTTCACTTAATTTTCAAGGTCATGGCGACACTTTGAAGATTTCAGCATGTTAACCTGCATGTAAAGATTGTCAGCGAGATGTTTCAAGAACAGTTCACTGGATTTTCTCCATAGAGAGGAACACCCAGGTGTACTCGGAGCACGTGCACAAGTGCCGAAAAAGTTATTGAATCATTTACCTGTGCTGTCTCCATCCTTTCTGTCACACCTGGCTGTTCCTTTCTTTGCACCCCTCCCTCGTAACAAATAGTGAACTGTGTCAAACTTTTAATGATAGTTTGTTAAACAACTTTTTTATTTTTAGGACATAGATTCTGCAAAAAAATCACAGAGTTGGTCTGATGTTTTGATTATGATCAGTGTTTCATTTCATCAGTGTTTTATATGTTTGGCAGTTTTCGAGTTAGATTGCACTTCATCGGACTGATTTTGAGCCAAACGGACTATAATGGCATGGCACAAGGATGATCTGTAGCATAAATTATGATTATGTTTTCTTTTTTCTATCATAGACTTGGGTGGTGGGGTAGCCTAGTGGTTAAAGCGTTTGCTCATCACGCCGAAGACCCGGGTTCGAGTCCCCACATGGGTACAATGTGTGAAGCCCATTTCTGGTGTCCCCGCCGTGATATTGCTGGAATATTGCTAAAAGCGGCTTACTCACTCACTCACTCTAACATAGACTGTTCACACAGTTACTAAGAAAACTATAAAACATTATGGGAAATAAAGTCGAACAATTCAATGATTGTTGAAAAATTGAACACATTTTTTACATGGGTATATGATATTGGGTCCCTTGTGTGATAGTCTAACCCTAGTTTACAAATTTGGTTGTATTTGTTACAGATGGCAAAAGTGTTGAGTCAGCGATGAATTTTCTAATGATTTAACTTCCTTGACCATGCTGACCACTAGTGAGGGACATAGTTTAGCTGTAGTAGTCCTGGTTGTAATCTGGCAATGCTTGCCACCATTACCTGTTCTGGACCTGTAAACTCCAGCATTTTGGAACCTGGCAAACTGTGTTCGGCTGTTGTTAAAAGCCACATTGAACATTCAAAGCCTCATTGTGACACCCTTGGTTGTGTTGCAGATGAGGACAAGTACCTGATTAACCTGATTGATTCACCAGGCCATGTAGACTTCTCCAGCGAGGTGTCGACGGCGGTGCGGCTTTGTGATGGGGCTGTGGTGCTTGTGGATGTTGTAGAGGGAGTTTGTCCGCAGGTACCGTCGTAGACCTGTCTTGTACTGTTTCTTATGTTTGCTTGTAGATTAACACAGCACTAAGCAATATTCAAGCTATATGGCAGCGTTTTGTATATAATCGAGTTTGGACCAGAGATTCTAGTGATCAACAGCATGAGTATCGATCTACACAATTGGGATGCAATGACATGTGTCATTAAAGTCAGCAAGTCTGACCACCCAATCCCATTAGCCACCTCTTGAGACAAGCATGGGTTGCTAAGGACCAATTTAACTCAGATCTTCACAGGCTCTGTCTTGTACTGGTATCCTGCGTACATGAGAGAAGACATACTCTCCATAATTATCAAAAACATTTTCCTTTCTTACTCAAACTAGGGGAGCTAACTCTAGTGGGCAGACTCACTAGAAGTAAACACATTTCACTGATTATATGAATGTGTAGTTCCATTTGATTAATGCAAACTAAGGGATGTAACTCTTTAATGTGAGCAGACACACTAAAAATAAACACATCTCGCTGATTATAAATGTATAATTCCATTTGATTATACAAACTAGGGGAGATAACTCTATAAAGTGGACAGACACGCACAAGACACACATATCCCTTGAATTTATATTGTCATTTCATTATTCAACCAGGGGGAGGTAACTCTATAAATTGGGCAGTTTGATATTAGCTACTGGATTGCACTATATGGTGTGATAACTGATCCTGCTGATATTCACTTCAAACAGACCCATGCAGTGCTGCGGCAGGCATGGCTGGAGAATATCAAACCTGTGTTGGTTCTCAACAAGATCGACCGACTTGTGCTGGAGCTGAAGATGTCTCCCCTAGAAGCCCACATACACCTAAAGCAGATACTGGAGCAGGTGAGTCTCAATGTTTGTCTTAAGAAGGAATTTCATTTTTTTTGCAGTATTCGTAGTAGCTGATTTGTACTTAGCCATTGGAACAGATCGTTGCTCCTCGAAAATACTTTCTAAGTATGTCTTGTGATATTTTGTTTCAGGTGAATCTCTTAACCAATGAGCTGTTTACATCCGAGGCCATGGAAAAAACATCTACAGTAAGTTGCATATTTTTCAATGTCAGAGGTCAAGGCCACAATTATTCTGTGATGTTTTTAAGGGTCTATTTTACAAAAGATGAGTGAGTTTGGTTTTACACAACTTTAAGCAATATTCCTGCAATTCTGGGGACACTAGAAATGTGCTTCACTTATTGTGCCCATGTGGGGAATCAAACCTCGGGCCCTCTGCATGATGAGCGAACACTTACAAAAGATGATATGCTGGACAAACGTAATGTGTGATGTCACAGTATTTTTTACATGTTTTTTCCTCAACAGGAAATTGACAAACTACAGCGCTCCACATCCAGAGAGGCTGACCCACAGGTAAGGCAGATTTATCAATGAGCATATCTATTGATGTCTAATGTTCTGCACAGTCTCACAGTTAAAGAATAATTTTTTAAAACCTTTTTTGTTATGGTATAAATATTGAAGGCATTTATATGTTATCTTTCAGAGTTTCTTCAGTGTTAAGTGAAAACGTTTGTTAACGATAGCACAAAGTTACGAGCTACGACTGGACCACCCTTGTTAATGGTCCTTGACATGTTCTCAGAGCTACTACTGGACCACCCTTGTTAACGGTCCTTGATATGTTTTCAGAGCTACGACTGGACCACCCTTGTTAATGGTCCTTGATATGTTTTCAGAGCTACGACTGGACCACCCTTGTTAACGGTCCTTGATATATTTTCAGAGCTACGACTGGACCACCCTTGTTAACAGTCCTGGATATGTTTTCAGAGCTACGACTGGACCACCCTTGTTAACGGTCCTGGATATGTTTTCAGAGCTCCAGAGCTACGACTGGACCACCCTTGTTAACGGTCCTTGATATGTTTTCAGAGCTCTGACTGGACCACCCTTGTTAACGGTCCTGGATATGTTTTTTTCAGAGCTACGACTGGACAACCCTTTGTTATTACCGGACCTGTTAACGGTCATATGTTTTCAGAGCTTTCTCGACTGAACTCACCCTTGTTAATGGTCCTGGATATGTTTTCAGAGCTAACTTGACTATACCACCCTTGTTACTGGTCCTGGATATGTTTTCAGAGCTTTAAATTCTGGACCAAAATGTTAACGGTCCTGGATATGTTTTCAGAGCTACGACTGGACCAACAAGTTTGTTAACGGTCCTGGATATGTTTTCAGAGCTGACTGGACCACCCTTGTTAATGGTCCTGGATATGTTTTCAGAGCTTTTCATGAGCTGAACACTAAAACTTGTTCACTATCCTGGATATGTTTTCAGAGCTACACTGGACTTTAACGGTCACATAGACTAGATCACCCTGTTTTCAGTCTCTTCTTGTTAACGGTCCTGACTACCACCCTGTACTGGATGCCTTTTGGTAGTTTTAACATTTCTGAATAAAATGACTGGACCACCCTTGTTAACGGTCATGGATATGTTTTCAGAGCTACGACTGAACCACCCTACTAGTGGTCCTGGATGGATGTTTTCAGAGCTACTTAAAACCACCCTTGTTAATGGTCATGGATCCACTTTTCACCCTGTTAACGGTCCTAGATATGTTGCTTTCAAGAGCTGAGCTAAATATTTGACATACTAACCACCCTTGTTATAATCATGGATATGTTTTCAGAGCTTCGACTGGACCACCCTGTTAACGGTCCTGGATATGTTTTCAGAGCTACGACTGGACCACCCTTGTTAACGGTCCTGGATATGTTTTCAGAGCTACGACTAGACCACCCTTGTTAACGGTCATGGATATGTTTTCAGAGCTACGACTGGACCACCCTTGTTAACGGTCCTGGATATGTTTTCAGAGCTACGACTGGACCACCCTGGAAGATGAAGATGAGAACATGGAGAACAAGAACATCTACTTCTCTCCGGACCAGGACAACGTTGTGTTTGCCAGCGCACTCGATGGCTGGGGATTTAGGTACAGGAACTTACATTAAGTTGTGGGTTTCAAACTATGCAAATCCTCAAAACTACCAATGGATCTCCTCAAAACTGATTACATTTAGAAGCAGAGTTCATGGTGGCTATTCAAACATGCCTTTTCAAAGATCTTTACCAAAATAGTTTAATCCTGTGGATTGTATTGCACCAGTATTAATGCCACTGGCAGCCTATCTGTTGTCTGTTGACTGTGAGGCTATGGTTTTACAGAATCTCTCACTTTGCTGAGCTGTGGGCCCAGAAGCTGGGGATGAGCAACAAGGTTCTACAGAAGACACTTTGGGGGGACTACTATCTCAATGTGAAGAACAAGAGAGTCATGAAAGGTGCACAGGTATGGGTCCACTTGCAATGTGTTGATGTTTTATGTACTTCCACAAAGGGGATCCCTGTTTACATCAGTCATGGCCACCTAACAAACAAATCTCCATCAGCTAGCCAAAGTTCGACTTGACCTGCAGGGCTGGATGACATAAAATCACCTAGGTCACACATTGTGACAACCACTTCTCTTAGATTAGAGAGGCAGTAGGGTAGCCGAGTGGTAAAAGCATTCACCCTGAATGTGTGAAGCCCATTTCTGGTGTCCCTGCCATGATATTACTGGAATATTGCTAAAAGCGGCGTAAAACTAAACTCACTCACTTTCTGGGTGTCCCTAAAATTGAGTGATATTATTTCAGCTTTAGAATATTGCTAAAAGCCTGTAGTAAAACTAAACTCTCACTCACTCATTATTTGGTTAGAGAGCTAAAATTGACATCATAGGCCTTATTTCAGCCATTTAGTAATCTCATAATGTTTGCTTGAAGCTTAATGTCAGTGATGCCAGTGAGTGAGTGAGTTGGGTTTTACGCCGCCTTTAGCAATATTCCAGCAATATCACGGCAGGGGACACCAGAAATGGGCTTCACACATTGTATACATGTGGGGAATCGAACCGAGGTCTTTGACATGACGAGCGACTGCTTTAACCAGTGGACTACCCCACCGCTCCAGTGATGCCAGTTGCTGTTGTTTGTGAAAACAGACATCAATTGATAAAAACTGATTTTGTTTTGTATTTCAGTCTAAAGGGAAGAAGCCATTGTTTGTACAGTTTGTGTTGGAGCAGATCTGGGCCGTGTATGATGCCATTGTCATATCAAGGTGAGGCATTTAGTGTCAAACACTTCTGTACTCTGTGATCAGATCTGTTAAAGGAAAGTCATCGAGTAGTAATGGATGTGTGTTTTATCCCAGAGACAAGGAGAAGACTGACAAGATAGTGAAGTCTCTGAAACTGAAGGTGTCTGCCCGGGACACCCGACACAACGACCCTCGCATTCAGCTACAGGCAGTCACATCTCAGTGGCTTCCTGTCTCATCAGCCGTTCTAGGTATGTCACAGTCTCCTGTTGCTGGCACCTTGCATGATTCTTTGATTCAAAAATACGGATGGGTCGATATGGATTTGGCTAAGAATATAAATGTCATGCATCATCTATTTGGTTAAATGCAATTCTCATTGTATTTGCACCTTAAGTCATTAAATGACTCTTCTTGACTTGCCAAATGTTCATATCAGTTCTGACAAATTTATTAAACATTTCACCTTCCCACCTGGAAAGCTTGCATTTGTTTTGAGATTACTACATACTTTGCTTGATATGTCTGAAGGTGTACAAGGTCTGTACTCCAATTCTGTTTTAAAACATTTTATAGCTTCACTGGTCGTGGACTCAATCTTACAGTGGTCTGTTTGACAAATATTGTTTTAGGAAAATATATTTCAGTTATACATTTTCCTTGAGGCTTTTAAGAAAATTGTTTTGAATGACTTGTTCCTTGTCAACATTGTACACTAATAAACAGGTTAGATATTTAGCATTGACTGTCTTAAACCAAATGTGCTTCCTGGTTGAGTAGTAGTGATGTCCCTGTTGCAGCTGTTGTTGTGGACACCCTGCCGTCCCCGCTACAGATGACGGAGGAGCGAGTAGAGAAGCTCATGTGCAGCCACATCCAGAGATTTGACTCCCTGCCAGAACAGACTCAACATCTGAAGCAACGTGAGTCATAGGAATATGGAGAGTGCCGTCTGCTCTCAGTCAGCAAAGGGAGACAACTTAATAAATTAGCTCGATCCATCCCGTTGTATTAAAGATTAGGTGGTTACATATAGAGACATTGATGATTGTGTATCATTGTGTACAGTGTGCACTGGTAAGATGGTGTTAGGCTGCTGTAAAAACCTGGAATATTGCAGACCACAGGACTACACAACATTTACACCGAGTTGAATGGGTGGCCACTAGGCAAATGTGCACAGTTGTGTCCCTTAGTCATTCCATTGCCAAGGTCATTGGAGTTTGTGTATTGTTCAGTGGGTGGAAGGGTATCCAAGTGGTTAAAGAATTCACTCGTGAAAACCCAGGTTCAATTCACCACATGGGTGTAATGTGTAATGCCCATTTCTAGAGTCCCCCATCATGATGTTGCTTCGATGTTGGTAATAAATGTGAAAACCATACTTGCTCAATGTACTTGTACTTGTTTGATGGAACCATTTTCTTGGGATTGGTAGTTGTCTGACAAGGTTGAATATGTTTGAATTTGTTGAAAGTTTAGTGTGCTTCTCACAGTGACATTGTTCCCCACATGGAAACTATGTGTGAAGCCCATTTCTGGTGTCCTCTGCTGTGATATTGGTTGAATATTGCTGAGAGCGGCATAAAACTGAACTCACTCACTCACAGTGACATTCATTGTGTACAAATAATGACAATAGAACTCATCTTTCTCTGTCCAGATTTCTTGTCCTGTAACCCTACAACTGACACTCCTGTGATTGTGTTTGTGTCCAAGATGTTCCCAGTAGAGAGATGGCAGCTGCCACAAAACAAACAGAGGTCAGTCATGCAAAGTCTCAATTGATTTATCGTATAATTTACAAAGAACTTGATTGAATGTTATTGGTGGATTTTTTATCCCTCAGGCTTTTTTTTGTACTCACACTGAAGAAAATAAGCAGTGTGTGAATATGAGAGTCTACTGCCCATTTATATATAACCACCCTGTTGGTTTTCCTCCATTGTAAATGTGCAGTGTTATTTCAGACCTCTAACAGAGGAAGAGCTTCAGATTAGGAGAGACATCGCCAGGAAAAGACATGCAGAAAAGATGGCATTCGAAGAAGGGAAGACAGACACCAACACAGAAGATTCGGAGACAGCAGATACTCCTCCAGAGGAAGGTAGAAATTTCAAACTCATTATTGGAGAGTGGGGAGCTATTAGAGAGAATGTTGAAGTTACATGGGGATTTTCTAAAGACATAATGTGCTATATTGTCCAGTAGCCATGTCAAATCTAAGTGTAAACATTGTACATGGTCAACAGAGATGCCAACCACTCCGAATTTGGAGGAGTTACTCCGATTTTTAAATACAAAATCCACACTCCGATTTGTCTATAAAAACTCTGATTTTTAGAAAATACAAATATGTTTATAAATTTAGAATGTTTGAAAGAATTTTTGTAATTTGTTCATTTGAGTTAAGAATTATCTGGTTAAGTATGCCCAGAGATTGTATATTTCCAGGCTAAATCTAAAGATTTCCACAGGGGAAGTCCCCCAGACCCCTACCATCAAACGCTCTCACACCAGAGACCATATAATAGATCTATTATATTATCTCTGCTCACACTCACCCCCACCTTCAGGGCTGGGGAATCGCTTTTAGCAAGGCATGACTCCACTTTCATTTGATTCAGGGTCGGCATCTCTGGTTCAAACATGTTTGTGTGGAAGCTTGTCAAAAATCATTAGGTAATGGTGAATGTATTTGTATTTCCTACGAAGAGATCTGTGAAATAGTCTTCTAAGGTTCTTTTACTGGAACATCTGTTTTTAGTCCCAGAAGCTGCAACAAATGGAGTAGCCATCGAAGCTGGCGAGGCATCAAGTGATCTGGGCGGACACGTGTTCATTGCCTTTGCTCACGTGTTCAGTGGCACAGTGAAGAAAGGCTGTACCTTGTATGTTCTTGGGCCAAAACATGATCCAGGGAAAGTGCTTGACAAGGTATGGAAGTCTGTAGCAAATAGCACATCGTTTTGTAGTTGCTCTTCTTGGGGTCTTGTTAATGTAGACGTTTTACATTTGCTTTGCAAAGGCAGCAATTTTATGGCATTAGGCTTTCTCCTCCAAATGGTACTGCATGAGGTAGTTTGAGGAATTCAGGAAAAAGCCAGGAAGGGAATGCACTTTCTTAGGGAATTAGCTAGAGACAAGCATCTGTTGTGAAGAAAAAAGTGTGAGTGAGAATGGTTTTGCTCCACATTGACCAATATTCCAGCAATATCATGACCATGGACACCAGGAATCGGCTTCACACATTGCATACATGGGGGCAGCATGATGGACGAACATTTTAACCACTGGGCTACCTCTCCACTCAGAGAAAACAGAGCTGATGTTAAAACACTAGAAGTGCCTTGGACTAGGTTGTGCTACATGATCTGTGTGTACTTTATGCTGTATCTAACCTGTTAAGAATATGTATTACAATTACTTGTGTTTTTAGTACTCCCTTGTTTATTATCATGGTGGAACACAAAAGTGCACAAGTCACAAGTTTTCAGCATGCTTCTGTTGTTTCTACAACTCACTACGTTGTACATCAGATAAAACCTGTGGTGTTGAATACATGACCTTTGTGTGTTTGTTGCAGCCTGACCTGGAAGGGGAGATAACCCCGGGGATGACTGTGCGAGACCTATCCAGCAGCCAGCATATCACCAGGTTCACTGTCAAGGACCTCTACCTGTTCATGGGACAACATTCTAGGTCAGTCTGGAGTTACAGGTCATACAAGGTACCCACAGACAACATTCTAGGTCAGTCTGTAGTTACAGGTCATACAAGGTACCCACAGACAACATTCTAGGTCAGTCTGTAGTTACAGGTCATACAAGGTACCCACAGACAACATCCTGGGTCAGTCTGTAGTTACAGGTCATACAAGGTACCCACAGACAACATCCTGGGTCAGTTTGTAGTTACAGGTCATACAAGGTACCCACAGACAACATCCTGGGTCAGTCTGTAGTTACAGGTCATACAAGGTACCCACAGACAACATCCTGGAGGTCAGTCTGTAGTTACAGGTCATACAAGGTACCCACAGACAACATTCTAGGTCAGTCTGTAGTTACAGGTCATACAAGGTACCCACAGACAACATTCTAGGTCAGTCTGTAGTTACAGGTCATACAAGGTACCCACAGACAACATTCTAGGTCAGTCTGTAGTTACAGGTCATACAAGGTACCCACAGACAACATCCTGGGTCAGTCTGTAGTTACAGGTCATACAAGGTACCCACAGACAACATTCTAGGTCAGTCTGTAGTTACAGGTCATACAAGGTACCCACAGACAACATCCTGGCTTAGTTTGTAGTTACAGGTCATACAAGGTACCCACAGACAACATTCTCTAGGTTACAGTTACAGGTCATACAAGGTACCCACAGACAACATCCTGGCTTAGTTTGAAGTTACAGGTCATACAAGGTACCCACAGACAACATCCTGGGTTAGTTTGGAGTTACAGGTCATACAAGGTACCCACAGACAACATCCTGGCTTAGTTTGAAGTTACAGGTCATACAAGGTACCCACAGACAACATCCTGGGTTAGTTTGGAGTTACAGGTCATACAAGGTACCCAAGCAGGGTTAGTTTAAGTTTCTGGTGAGTTGGTGTTTCAGTTGGTGTCTAGGTCTTGAATGGCCTATATGAGTTTCTAACTACATTTCTATTTCAGTTGTTTTCATAATGACATTTTCAACACAATTGTTTTTCTTCCTCTGTGGATTGAAGTTGTATCTGTGTTGCAGGTATTGGGGGCTTGGAGGACCACATCTTGAAGTCCGGCACCATTTCATCGACTGTGGCTTGCCCTGCATTCACAGAAATGTTCTTTGATGCCGACCCCATTGTTAGAGTCGCCATAGAACCAGCACACCCAGGTCAGGTTCTGATTAATGTTCGATCTTAGCCCCAGCTTACATTCAGATAGACCATATAGCTGGAACATTGCTGAGTGCGGCTTAAAACTGAACTCACTCACTCACTCATTCAGATAGAAAAGTAGGTTATAGGAAGGAAGTGTGCATGTGTAGTTGTACCTTGCAGTAGTTGTACCTTGCAGTAGTTGTACCTTGCAGTTGTGTAGTACACAGTAGTATTGTTATATCTGTATTGTGCTGCTGTAGTAGCATGTACCTTGCGTGTAGTTGTACCAATTGTGGCAGTGTAGCTACTGGGATTACATGCGTATTATTGTGCTGCTGTAGGTGACATGACATATGTATTGTGCTGCTGTAGGTGACATGACGTGTGGTGCTGCTGTATGACGTGTATTGTGCTGTTCTAGGTGACATGACATGTGTATTGATGCTGCTGTAGGTGACGTGTGTATTGTGTGCTTAGGTGACATGACGTATTGTGCTGGTGACATGACATGGCATGTGTATTGTGCTGCTGTAGGTGACATGACATGTGTATTGTGCTGCTGTAGGTGACATGTGTATTGTGCTGCTGTAGGTGACATGACATGTGTATTGTGCTGCTGTAGGTGACATGGCATGTATTGTGCTGCTGTAGGTGACATGACATGTGTATTGTGCTGCTGTAGGTGACATGACATGTGTATTGTGCTGCTGTAGGTGACATGTGTATTGTGCTGTTGTATGACGACATGACATGACATGTATTGTGCTGCTGTAGGTGACATGACATGTGTATTGTGCTGCTGTAGTGACATGACATGTGTATTGTGCTGCTGTAGGTGACATGACATGTGTATTGTGCTGCTGTAGGTGACATGTGTATTGTGCTGCTGTAGGTGACATGACATGTGTATTGTGCTGCTGTAGGTGACATGACATGTGTATTGTGCTGTTGTGACATGACATGTATTGGCTGCTGTAGGTGACATGACGTATTGTGCTGCTGTAGGTGACATGACATGCATTGTGCTGCTGTGGGTGACATGATGACGCTGTGCTGCTGTAGGTGACATGTGTATTGTGCTGCTGTAGGTGACATGACATGTGTATTGTGCTGCTGTAGGTGACATGACATGTGTATTGTGCTGCTGTAGGTGACATGACGTACTGTGTAGGTGACATGACGTGTATTGTGCTGCTGTAGGTGACATGACATGTGTATTGTGCTGCTGTAGGTGACATGACATGTGTATTGTGCTGCTGTAGGTGACATGACATGTGTATTGTGCTGCTGTAGGTGACATGACATGTGTATTGTGCTGCTGTAGGTGACATGACATGTGTATTGTGCTGCTGTAGGTGACATGACATGTGTATTGTGCTGCTGTAGGTGACATGACGTGTATTGTGCTGCTGTAGGTGACATGATGTGACGTATTGTGCTGTTGTAGGTGACATGGCATGTGTATTGTGCTGCTGTAGGTGACATGACATGTGTATTGTGCTGCTGTAGGTGACATGACATGTGTATTGTGCTGCTGTAGGTGACATGACATGTGTATTGTGCTGCTGTAGGTGACATGACATGTGTATTGTGCTGCTGTGTGTATTGATGACACATGACATGTATTGTGCTGCTGTTGTAGGTGACATGACATGTGTATTGTGCTGCTGTAGGTGACATGACATGTGTATTGTGCTGCTGTAGGTGACATGACATGTGTATTGTGCTGCTGTAGGTTACATGACATGTATTTTGCTACTGTAGGTGACATATGTATTGTGCTGCTGTAGGTGACGTGTATTGTGCTGCTGTAGATGACATGACATGTGTATTGTGCTGCTGTAGGTGACATGACATGTGTATTGTGCTGCTGTAGGTGACATGACGTGTATTGTGCTGCTGTTGGTGACATGACATGTGTATTGTGCTGCTGTCGGTGACAAGACATGTGTATTGTGCTGCTGTAGGTGACATGACATGTGTATTGTGCTGCTGTAGGTGACATGACATGCATATTGTGCTGCTGTAGGTGACATGACACGTGTATTGTGCTGCTGTACTGACATGACGTGTGTTGTGCTGCTGTAGGTGACATGACAGCTGTGATACAGGGCCTGAAGCTGTTGAACCAGGCCGATCCCTGTGTGCAGGTCCTGGTGCAGGAGACCGGGGAGCATGTCATCATCACTGCTGGGGAGGTGCATCTGCATCGCTGTATCGAGGATCTACAAGAGAGGTGAGACGAAGGGATGCTCAAATGGATATCTGTATCTAGATATCGCTACATTAAAAGTCAAGCTCTTTCATAGGTACAAATGTTACTCTTGGATTATTGTCCCCCGCTGCAACGGGGGACTGTGTATTCAGCAGCGTCTGTACGTATGTCCGTCCGATTCTTGTTAACATGATATCATATGAACTGTTGTATCCAATATCTTCACATTTGGTGACAGCCTACATAGGGGGATTACCCAGACACTAGTCGATTTGGTTGACCTTGACCTTATTATCAAGGTCACCACAAAACTTTGACCACTTTTCAAACTCTTGTTAACGTGATATCTCATGAACTGTTGAACCCAATGTCTTCAATTGTGTCGACAGCCTACACTGGGGGATCATGCAGACACCAGTCATTTCAGGCATCTTTTTTGTATCTATTTTTCAAAATTAATACTTGAAGGCATTGTTCCCTTGTGTGTCACATTTCCTCAAAGACTAGGGCTGAGAGTCTGGGGCAAAACATAGAATAGGTTTTGAGTAGTTTACACATCAGAAGAGACAGCAAAAATGGGATTGAGTGATAACACCATACAGAACCAGTTATTGATAATGCCACTGATCACTGGTTCAGATTGACCCTGTCATAGTGTTGTCTCAGGACAAAATACACATGAATCTACTGTTTGGGATAGAGGTTTGAGTGAAGTCCAGGTATGGGGTGGAAATATTTTATAACTTGCTCAGCATTATGATTTATATCAGAATTAACACAGTCACGCTAACACAAGTCTGGGTGTATGGTTAAGGGGAGGTAACTCATCACAACTGCTTCAAAGTTTCATCACCTCATTCTGAGTGAATGGTTTGGAAACGTTTATTTTATAAATTTTTGACAAAACAGCTGTTTTAGTCCTTTAGGACCTCAGATACCTATTAGTGCAACACTTCTGAGATGCATCTGGTCACTTTCAGATATGCCAAGGTTGAAGTGTCAGCATCGGCCCCTATTGTTCCTTTCCGCGAGACAATAATTGATCCCCCCAAAATCGACAGGGTCAATGAGGCTATTCAGGATCAAAACCAGCCAATCAAAGCAGCTATTACAAGAGAGGGAGAGACAGAGGAGGAAGATGCATTAGAGGAAGGTTTGATAGAGGTGTACACTTCAAACAGGAAGTGTGTGCTTCACGTACGTGCTGCTCCTCTCCCAGAGTCAGTCACCTGTCTCTTGAGTAACCACCCAACCATCATAAAAAGCCTGGAGCAGAACACAACTGCAAGATTCAGTGATAAATCAGAATGTGAAAGTGAAGTAAAAATGAACACAGCAACGATTGAAGCTTTGAAGGATTTGAAGGCAAAGTTGAAAAAAGAATTTGAACATTCTGGAGACTTTTGGAATGATGCTGTTGATCAGATATGGAGTTTTGGACCTCGTCGGAATGGACCAAATATTTTGTTGAACCGAATTCCAGGCTACCAGAGGCCATCGGTGTGGAGCAGCATTGAGAAATCTACATGCTCCATGCAGTGTCAAAACTTTGATAGCTCAGTGGTCAATGGGTTCCAGATGGCGACTCTGTCAGGGCCACTGTGTGACGAACCAATGATAGGTGTGTGTTTCGTGGTGGAGAAGTGGGACTACGTTAATGTAGAGAGTAGCTCAGTGAAATCTAGGACTAAGCGCTCAGGTCAACCTCAGGTCAATGGGGAGGTCAAGGTCAGTTCTAGGTCAAGGACTGCTGCTGACTGTGATGAAAAGCTCGACTGTGATTCACCTGAAGAGGATTCTCATGTGTCTAAACAGAAGCAAGTAGCGTTTGGTCCTTTCTCAGGTCAGCTGATGTCATGCATGAGAGATGGATGCCGTCGGTCGTACCAGGCTCAACCACAGAGGCTGTCAGTTGCCATGTACAAGTGCACAATACAGGCCACAACAGAGGTGCTAGGTAAGTTCAGGCCTAGGAACATACACAAGAACATGCACAGGAACACAGTAAGAAACATATGGAGGAACATGCACAAAAACACATGCAGGAACTTACATGTGAACATGCAAAGCACATACAGGAACATCCACACCTGCTCATCAACCCCTCCCACATCAGCAGAATACCCTGCATCAAATAATTTCCTTATACATTTGGAGATAAAAATGAATATTTAAACTACCAGATTACAGTTTTCTTCATAGTTCACCAGCATATACGAATATGTTCATCATGTCGTAGAAGTAGTAGCATGTTTTGCTGTACTTGTTTTCAACCATAGTCAGTATTATCTGTACTCTACTGGCTGTGGTCCTATCTCCTGTTAACACCTACATGCTGTTGGGCGGTGATGAGCCCAAGTCTGCAGCTGTTGTCAATATCTGGAATATTAACTTGAAGTGCTTGTGCTGTATTTTTTCCATGGCAAGACTGGGAATGTACCAGGAAATATCAATATGGTTGACATTGATAGAAATATTAACATACTGTAAATCATGAAATTAATGCGAGCATTTTATTAATGCAAAAAATGGGTCTGTACTCTTCTCGCATTATTATAATGACGCATTTCAGTCTGACCATGTCTACTTAATAAAAGACAGAAATCATAAATCTGTTGACACTACACATTACACCAACACAGGCCACTTCCTCATTACAGGTATCTCAAACCACATGTAATTATCACTGGTTACAATCACTGGTCATTGTTTAAAGTCACTCAAGCACATCAGCCAGACTGGACATTCTCCAGCCACGTGTACCTGGGTAGATGACTTGTGTCTTTCAAGTCGGATTACGTTTATACATGTTGTCGTAAGACAAGTAGTAGCAAGCAATCACGTGATCAAACATGGCAACGTAATCAAAACATCGTCAGCTTGTTTCCATTCATTGCTTAACAAGCTCAATTCAGGTTATTTGGTAAATAACAAGTGTGAAAAGAAAAAGAACAACACCAAAGATTCAGGGTGTCACATTTTATCATCAACACAGATTCCTGAGCTCGCATTAAGTTCGTGACGCATTTTAGACTAGACCCTCGCACTCACATTAAATTCGTGACGCATTCATTTCATGATTTACAGTATTTAGCATGCTTAGTAAATAGTTGCCCAGATAATATGGGAGAAAGCGTTATGAAAGGAGGCTCTATATAGATCTGATTTATCCTGAAATGGCTATTCTGTCAATACGAGATACCAACATTACAATATGTGTTTACATAATTATTGGCCATTCTTTCAAAACCACATCGTCAAAAATACAAGAAGTGTTGCCGAGATCTCCATGACAACCATTTCTCATCTTCCTTCTCCAGGTAAACTATATGCTGTCCTGGGCAAGAGAAATGGCCGAGTGATCTCTGAAGAGATGAGGGAAGGGACACAGATTTTCAGCGTACAAGCCACGCTTCCCGTCATTGAAAGTTTTGGATTTGCCCAGGACATCCGTAAGAAGACTAGCGGTCTAGCCAGTCCACAGCTGACCTTCAGTCACTGGGAGGTAGGTGCTTCTCTTACAGTCTTCCAATAAACAGGACAGTCTCTTCATCCATGATAGATCAGGAATTATAAAATAGTCGTCTCCCCACTACTTGATTTTCAAAAATTGGAAGCAGGCATTTCGGTGTCAAGTTATGGATTTTTTCATTCTTTATGGGTTCGTTTTATCCTTGAAAGCTTTAGTAATTAACAGGTCAGATGGTCTGGCTTGTTGACTTGGTTGATACATGTTATTGTATCTGAATTGCTTGATGGATCCTCATGATGTCAAGCACTGGATTGTCTAGTCCAGTGGCGTTAAACAACAAATAAACATTGTCAGTAGATGAGCGGAAGTCACCATGGAACACACATTGCGATTTACTTTCGTCTGTTGGCATTTGAGATCATGTGGGGATGAAACTGGGATCGTTTGTTTCTTAAGGCTAATGGAAGATGGAAAGCATGTTTCCATGTTCACTTTCCTTAACAAGGTAGCACTAGTAGTCCTATTATGTTCCTGTACATAAACAATTTAATGTCTTTTGCACACTTTCAGACCCTTGATATTGACCCGTTTTGGACACCTACAACAGAAGAGGAGTATACACACTTCGGGGAGAAAGCAGACTCCGATAACCGAGCTCGCACGTATATGAACAAGGTCCGCAAACGTAAAGGTCTGAAAGTCGATGAGAAGATTGTGGAGCATGGCGAGAAACAGAGAACCCTGACAAAGATGAAATAGTTGCCAACTGCTTACACTTCATGATCATCAAGGGACACGGGTTACATAGTTGTATATTTACATTGTTTAGATATGAAAGAACATATTTAATTGAAGTTGAATCTAAAATCATTGGATTTAGATAAGAGGTATGGGGAAAATGTCACATTTTAGAGTTATCTCCCATGGTTAGCTGCTTGAAACTTGAATGAACAACAATATGATGGCTACTTGAATAGCATAGAATCTTTAGAATCTTTTATTGTTCTATTTCGCAGTTTAAGGAAACAAGATGTTCTACAACTGACTTCATGTGAGTGGAATAACTAGCTAGACTAGTTTGTATCATCTTGTTTCCTTATGTTCCTGTAGATATTTGTAAGTGCTGGAATACAAGTCAACATACTCATGATCTGTTCCCGTAGACCAGCATTGTTGGGGTTTGTTTAAAAGAGAAGGATACAGGCAGTTCACCATTAGTTTCTTCCATCCTTGGAAATTTGGTACTTCAGTGGAGTGCTCATGGTGTCAGAGAACCCAGTACCCAATGCTGGTCATACTATAACCACCTTCTATGTAGAGTGTTCATGGTGTCAGAGAACCCAGTACCCAATGCTGGTCACACTATAACCACCTTCTATGTAGAGTGTTCATGGTGTCAGAGAACCCAGTACCCAATGCTGGTCATACTATAACCACCTTCTATGTAGAGTGTTCATGGTGTCAGAGAACCCAGTACCCAATGCTGGTCACACTATAACCACCTTCTATGTAGAGTGTTCATGGTGTCAGAGAACCCAGTACCCAATGCTGGTCACACTATAACCACCTTCTATGTAGAGTGTTCATGGTGTCAGAGAACCCAGTACCCAATGCTGGTCACACTATAACCACCTTCTATGTAGAGTGTTCATGGTGTCAGAGAACCCAGTACCCAATGCTGGTCACACTATAACCACCTTCTATGTAGAGTGTTCATGGTGTCAGAGAACCCAGTACCCAATGCTGGTCACACTATAACCACCTTCTATGTAGAGTGTTCATGGTGTCAGAGAACCCAGTACCCAATGCTGGTCACACTATAACCACCTTCTATGTAGAGTGTTCATGGTGTCAGAGAACCCAGTACCCAATGCTGGTCACACTATAACCACCTTCTATGTAGAGTGTTCATGGTGTCAGAGAACCCAGTACCCAATGCTGGTCACACTATAACCACCTTCTATGTAGAGTGTTCATGTAGAGTGTGTCAGAGAGGAACCCAGTACCCAATGCTGGTCACACTATAACCACCTTCTATGTAGAGTGTTCATGGTGTCAGAGAACCCAGTACCCAATGCTGGTCACACTATAACCACCTTCTATGTAGAGTGTTCATGATGTCAGAGAACCCAGTACCCAATGCTGGTCACACTATAACCACCTTCTATGTAGAGTGTTCATGGTGTCAGAGAACCCAGTACCCAATGCTGGTCATACTATAACCACCTTCTATGTAGAGTGTTCATGGTGTCAGAGAACCCAGTACCCAATGCTGGTCACACTATAACCACCTTCTATGTAGAGTGTTCATGGTGTCAGAGAACCCAGTACCCAATGCTGGTCATACTATAACCACCTTCTATGTAGAGTGTTCATGGTGTCAGAGAACCCAGTACCCAATGCTGGTCACACTATAACCACCTTCTATGTAGAGTGTTCATGGTGTCAGAGAACCCAGTACCCAATGCTGGTCATACTATAACCACCTTCTATGTAGAGTGTTCATGGTGTCAGAGAACCCAGTACCCAATGCTGGTCATACTATAACCACCTTCTATGTAGAGTGTTCATGGTGTCAGAGAACCCAGTACCCAATGCTGGTCACACTATAATAACCACCTTCTATGTAGAGTGTTCATGGTGTCAGAGAACCCAGTACCCAATGCTGGTCACACTATAACCACCTTCTATGTAGAGTGTTCATGGTGTCAGAGAACCCAGTACCCAATGCTGGTCACACTATAACCACCTTCTATGTAGAGTGTTCATGGTGTCAGAGAACCCAGTACCCAATGCTGGTCACACTATAACCACCTTCTATGTAGAGTGTTCATGGTGTCAGAGAACCCAGTACCCAATGCTGGTCACACTATAACCACCTTCTATGTAGAGTGTTCATGGTGTCAGAGAACCCAGTACCCAATGCTGGTCATACTATAACCACTTTCTATGTAGAGTGTTCATGGTGTCAGAGAACCCAGTACCCAATGCTGGTCATACTATGACTACGATCCTTGTTGAGTGGCCCTGGTGTCGGAGAACATTACATTATAGTTACAGCATTGTTCATTGGTTTTGGAAAAAATGTGAAATATTTAGTGAGGGATGAGCTAGTGGTTTTACATTTTCGACCAAACCGAGGAGCGGCGTTTTAACCAGCTTATGAATGAGTTAAAATGCAAGAAATATGTAACAATATGGAGCACATTGGGTATCTAAATATGAAAGTGAGTGAGTGGATGAGTTAATATTTATCGTCACATCGGCCATATTTCAGCCATATCGTGACGAGAACAATTAATTATTAGAGAACAATAAAAGTAGAAATTAAAAGCCTGCTGACGAAGAACAGTAACACTACCAGTGTATCACAAATATTAAAGTAAAACTAGCATGTTATCATAAAACGATATTATAAATAGAACAATATAATATAAAACATGCTATAGATTGCCAACAACTGAAGGTAGATCACCATACTAGGGACAGTTTGTAACTTATAGTACATTTGCTTCTTGCATGGAGCCTAGCTAGATTTACACCATACCTTCAGCTATTAGCAATTGTAGATAATTTAGCCATTAATTAAAATAACATATATACTACGATTAAAAATAATAGTAGGATTAAATTTACCTTGATTGCTTTGGTACTTGCGTACCCTCTCGGGAGGACAATAATTTTACAATACTTCAACCCCCTTTGAGGGGAAAATGTGAAAGAATGCATCGAATATATTTATGAATAGAATATATTTGATGACAAGTGAAGGACCATATACAACTGACATCATGATATATAAGGACCATATACAACTGACATGATATACATGGTCCAGGTACAACCGACGTCATAATATATAAGGTCTATGTACAACTGACGCCATGATATATAAGGACCATATACAACTGACATGATATATAAGGTCTATGTACAACTGACGCCATGATATATAAGGACCATAAGCAACTGACTTCATGATATATAAGGTCTATGTACAACTGACGCCATGATATATAAGGACCATATGCAACTGACTTCATGATATATAAGGTCTATGTACAACTGACGCCATGATATATAAGGACCATAAGCAACTGACTTCATGATATATAAGGTCTATGTACAACTGACGCCATGATATATAAGGACCATATGCAACTGACTTCATGATATATAAGGACCATATACAACTGACTTCATGATATATAAGGACCATATGCAACTGACTTCATGATATATAAGGTCTATGTACAACTGACGCCATGATATATAAGGACCATAAGCAACTGACTTCATGATATATAAGGACCATATACAACTGACGCCATGATATATAAGGACCATATGCAACTGACTTCATGATATATAAGGACCATATACAACTGACTTCATGATATATAAGGTGAGGTGAAATTGGGTTTAACGTCGTGCTTGAGAATATTTCGCTCATATGACGACGTGCATGCGTGTGGATGTGTATGTGCGGCTGTTTGTACTAGCCCAGACTTCAGCTGGTTTTATAGTGCTAGCCCACTGAGATACCATGCCGCAGTGAAGCATGAATACCCCACTCAGACACATTATACTGACTCCGAGCCGACCAGTCCTTGTTGTACCCATTAATGCCGAGCGCCAGGCAGGGACCAACAAGTACCATATTTTAACGTCTTTTGGTTTGACGCGGTCGGGGATCGAACCCGCGACCTTCCGCTCTCCGGGCGGACGCTCTAACCACTACACCACGGAGGCGGTCTGATATATAAGGACCATATACAACTGACTTCATGATATATAAGGACTATAATACAACTTACGTTATGATATATAAGGCTGAACACCTGTCTATGTGGCTGTGTGGGTTACAATACTGAACATAATATTTAAAGTTAATAGATACGACTCGCGTCTTGAAATTTTCATATGAAAAGAATATAACTGTAAAAATTCAGCAAATGCATATAGAAGGCAGTTTACACAAAGTAACTTGAAAGCCAAAGAGTAAAATCTCTAAGCAGGTGCAACGTGAAAGGGTTACTTCGTCAGTCACTCGCTGTACCACATTAACTTCCCTTCCACAAAGCCCTCACTAAAGAGCCATAATCAAATTATAATTTTCTCAGGTTCGTATCATCCCATCTCATTGTGGCCTCTCTTCAATTTAAATACCTATCTATTAAGTCGACTTCAATCTCCATTGGAACCAAATATGCTCGTTTGGGAATAAACTTGCCGGAGCACCAGTTATGTTAAGCCTGTGTATGAAATAAGGCCCGTCCGACCAACCGAGACGGTCTAGATTTCTGACGGACGGTCTAAATTTACAGCTAGCCAGCCCGAAGGTCTAGTAAAATTTTTAGATGTTCCATACATCTGAATAATTTCACCATATTTGGTCTGGTTAAATCAATTTTGGGCTGGCAACATTTTGAAGTTACCAGCCCTGATGTCTGGCTGGCTTTTTGGCTTATTTTATACACTGGTTAAGCTCATGTACATAAAGATATTTACAATCGCCACGGTGACTTTCAAAGGTTAGATGCAACTTCTCACGGTCTCTGGGGACTAGGACAGTTATCTATATTACGATCCTTTCCTCCAATAACTGGATGTCAAGGTTGAAAACATTGGGTCCGTTGCTCATGTTGCCCACACAATAGTACACCAGCCTGAACAAAGATAGACCAGCAGGACCAGGAAGAAGATGAGTTTCGTCACCTTAAGTAACAATGAAGCGATGACGTAACCAGACAAACATGAGACAATTCATGAATACATCACACGGTTTATGGATAACGACTTCTTTTTATTCTTTATGCAAAAAAAGTTTCAGGGCTAAGTGTTGTTCCTTCATCAGATGAACAGATAGAACATGTTTACACATTGCAAGGTGGGAAAATGTACAAAGATAACAATATAATCTTAATGTCAATTAGGAATAATGTACAAAGATCGCAATGTAAGGGCGAAGTCAGTGAGATTAACGGTATAACACTGCAAAGAAGAATATGAAGAATGAGTTTAGTTTTACGCCGCTTTTAGCAATATTCCAGCAATATTCCAGCAATATCAGGACGAAAGAGACCAGGAATGGGCTTCACACCTTGTACCCATGTAGGGAATCGAACATGGGTCTTCTGCGTGACGAGCGAAGGCGTTAACCTTTGAGCTACCCCACCGCCCCGAATATAAAGAGTATAAAGAATAAAAAGAAGTTGTTTTATAATCCTCACAAAAAATTAAGCAACAAGTAATT